CCCCCCATGCACCACGTCGCCTTTTCGTCACAGATAAAGCCCTAAAACTGCAGTTCCTCGTTGACACTGGAGCCGACTTAAGTGTGCTGCCACGCAAAGCATGTTCTGCTTCAAAACCTAGTATGATACGCCTATACTCTGCTACTGGTTCCTGTATTAGAACGTTTGGGCAGAAACAGTTGACACTTGACCTTGGTTTTGGCCAGCCAGTCACATGGACCTTTGTTGTTGCAGATGTCACTACTGCCATCCTAGGTGCTGACTTCCTCGTACACCATGGTTTCACCGTAGATATGCGAAACAAGCGCCTTGTGTGTCCAACTATACCAAGCAGCATTACGTGTGTGTCTCGACGAGTAAGCGCGTTGGAGGTGGGAATATCTACTGCCCATCCTTATGACCGACCAACGGATGCACCAGACGACCCTGGAAGAGTCCAGCACTATATCGACACCCAAGGCCCACCAGTGTTCTCCAAGCCGCGCAGGCTTCCACCAGACCGTCTACAAGCTGCACGGGCCGAATTCAATCAACTTATACAAATGGGCATTGTTCAGCCATCAAAATCGCCATGGGCTAGCCCGCTTCACATGGTCCAAAAAGCCAACGGCCAGTGGCGTGCTTGTGGGGATTTCCGTCGGTTAAATGCAATTACCAAGCCTGATCGCTATCCAGTGCCACATATTCAGGACTTTGCAAATCAGCTACATGGAAAGAAAATTTTCTCTACCATTGATCTTGTACATGCATTCCACCAGATCCCAGTCCGCCCAGAAGATGTACAAAAAACGGCTGTTATTACACCTTTTGGTTTGTACGAATTTCTACGTATGCCCTTTGGCTTACGTAACGCCGCCCAGACACTTCAGCGGTACCTCGACCATCTCTTCCGAGGGTGTTCATTTGTATATGTGTACATCGACGACATACTGGTAGTCTCGGAGACGGAAGCAGAACACGAGCAGCACTTAGCAGTAGTTCTTCAGATCCTAGAAGCAAATGGACTCCAAATCAACAAAGAAAAGTCCAAATTCCGGATACGAGAGGCAAATTTCTTGGGCGTCACAGTCTCCCCAACTGGAGTCAGGCCTCTGCCAGCTAAAGTCAGTGCTATTCGCAGTTTTCCGCAACCAACAACATACAAACAGCTACGTCGCTTCTTAGGGATGGTTAATTTCTATCGACGCTGGTTACCGAATGCTGCAAAAGAGCTTATGCCACTCACCGAGCTACTTTCCCACCAAAAGAAAAAGCAACAGGACCTCAACTTGACCCCAGCAGCATCAAGTGCCTTCACCAGAGTTAAAGAACTCCTAGCTACTGCTGCCGAGTTGGTTTTTCCAGCACCCCATGCTCAGTTGAGCATGTCAGTCGACGCTTCGGACACCGCGATCGGTGGTGTATTGCAACAGCTTGTTGGTGAGCACTTACAGCCTATTTCTTTCTTCTCACGGAAGTTGTCGAAGACGGAGCGTAACTACAGTACCTACGACCGCGAGCTGTTGGCAATATTTAGCGGTATTCACCATTTCCGCTACCTTCTTGAGGGCATGCCATTCATCATATACACTGACCACAAGCCCTTGACGTATGCCTTTCAGCAGCGACATGACCGTCAATCTCCACGACAGATCCGCCAGCTGGAATTTATTGGTCAATTTTCCACAGACATCCGACATGTCCAAGGAGAAAAGAACATTGTAGCCGACTGTCTCTCACGACCTGAGGTAGACGCAATAACATCACCCATCACCATTGACTTTGACCGGTTAGCTGAAGCTCAGACAACTGATGAAGGTCTACAAGAAGCTCTGCAGGACCCCACAAGCTCTTTAAACCTTCAACACATTGTCATACCAGATAGCGAACGACCCCTATACTGTTCAATCCAAGATGGACGTGTACGTGTGTACGTGCCGGCGACCTTCCAGAGGGATGTTTTCTTGAAGTTCCACACCCAGTCCCACCCTGGACACGCTGCTACGCTGAGAATGATCGCCGAACGCTTCGTGTGGCATAATATGAACCGTCAAGTCAAGCAGTGGTCCAGAGAGTGTCTTCAATGTCAGCGGGCCAAAGTAGGACGTCATACTGTTACACCGGTGACACCACTAGGAATGCCTGACGAACGATTTGCCCACATACATATCGACATTGTGGGACCACTTCCCCTAGTGACAATTTTCGATACCTACTCACGATCATTGACCGATTTACGAGATGGCCTGAGGCTATCCCTATTTGTGAGATAACTACTGAAGTAGTGGTACAAAAACTCCTCGAAGGATGGATATCCCGCTTTGGTGTGCCAGCGACCATTACTACAGATAGAGGCAGACAATTGAGAGCCAGTTGTTCCGCCAGCTCAACACAGCACTTGGTGTACAGCACATAAAGACGACTGCTTATCACCCACAATCAAATGGATGTATCGAACGCTTTCACCGAACCCTCAAGGCTGCACTCATCGCTGCTGACGTATCCTGGGTCGAAGCTCTTCCCCTCGTCATGCTGAGCCTACGGAACACCTTCAAACCGGACATCGCCTGTACAGCCTCCGATTTAGTGTTTGGTGCACCAGTTCGCCTCCCTGGACAGCTATTTGTTCCAAGTGCTACCCCAACTGACGAACGCCGATTTGTTCAACGACTCCGTGAGACCATGGGAGCATTGAGGCCTGTACCAACGAGCAACCACTCAGTTCGCACCGCCTATGTCCATCCCGACCTACAGACGACTACACATGTCTTCATACGTAACGACAAGGTGAAGCCTCCATTGACACCTCAATATAGCGGCCCGTACAGAGTTGTGGAACGAGATGACAAGTTCCTAACGGTGGACGTCCAGAATGTTCCCCAACGAGTCTCCATGGATCGACTGAAGGCAGCATATGTTCCAGCATCTCATCAACTGGCGGAGGAACATTCATACGCCAACCGTTTGCTGCTCAACGTATGCCAGAAGAACCGTTCACAACCAGTGGGTTCCTCACTGGGGGGGAGCCCTGTGGCAGACTTCCGAAGGTAGCAAGTGCCCGCCACAGATTGGTTGGCTCCACGGGAGGAGAGTAGCACAGGGGTGTGACAGTAAACCGGAAAATTGGAAACAGTTCTGGCGCGGTCCTACCCAGGCAGAAAGCATGGCCTTCTAGACTGTCCTAGACAAAAATCTGAGTATTTCTATATGATTTCTGTCAATCTCTGTTACGGAACATTTTTATGCACGTCGGCGTCCTCTTCTTTTGTCTGTGTGTCAGCGATGTGTCAACTCCCGAGGCCTCTGGCAAGGTCGAGCGCCATTTTAATTTTTGCCGTTTAGATTTGATTAGAAGCTTGTTTATGATATTTCGGCGGAAATTTATAAGTACAAAGATGTTTTTTGATATAAAGTTCCTTGTTAACACTTTAATAAAGTATATATGATATTAATTACATAAAGAAAATGATGAAATCGACGTTTCTGCGTGTAGTAGGTATGGGCCATATTATATGTAAAAATAGGTAATATATTAACTGTTATATTTTTTTAGCTTTAGATCCAAGGATCTTGGGATATTCTTTGCCAAGGATTTTTCCGTATATCTACTTTAAAGACTGATCGGAGATTTTGAGCAATTGAAAGCAAGTTACACAAGGTAAATTATGATTATTGAAATATTATTAGCCTACATTAATTATCTACAAGATGAACAGAAATGCGTAATTACATATCACATAGGTACCTATTATGTATTTTCATAGCAATAATCTATGTATGTAGATTATTTTTAAAATACAAATGAGGTATTAGATGTATATGTATCATATTTTTTATTCATTTTATTTTCATTCAAGTCCTGATTTAATTCACAAAAGTCTTATGTACCTATATTTATATTTTTTACATATTTTTTTGGTTCCAGGTTTTGCGTGGGTTTCTGTTGTCTTTTTGCTTCCAGTTAGTTTTACGCCCGTGAAGCTGTGAAAACATTTATTTATCTTCAAGTTTCTGTAAGTCAGTGCACTCTGTTACTTTACTAATTCACTTTAACACAGCATCTCTGATGTTATTTAAATATTTTGATATTGATACAGTAGTTTATGTGTTTATAGCTAATTGTGTTGATTTGCATATTTACATTGTTCTAAATTCCAAATAAATATTTTTCAGTAATTTTGTTGTATTATTTACTACTAGAAAGAGTAAAAAGTATATTAACCCAGATTTAAACCTCCTGAACAGCCCGCCATTAAAAACCGGAAACGGAAATAAATTTCATAAAACTGAAATTGTCATGTCTATGTCATTGTCTATGTCATGTCATAGTCATGTCAAATGTCCCAGCCGCCATATCTGAAAATTAGTTACCCAGGCAGCCACGCTGTTTCCATAATTTAACATTGACTTGACACTTCTTCTTGTATTTATTATTTTATGGAGTAGCAACCTTGAATCGCCACCCAGCTGATATCTGTCAATCGGGGAAGAAGAAGGATTATTCTGTGGATAGACATTCGACCTTCAACATTCACGTTTCGCGCCAAGAAACCGAATTCTTATGTTTTTGTAATAGTTATTTAGTTTGTAACAATTGATCGAGTTAATTAAATGACTTAATTATTTAGTGTGCCTAATTTGCTACCCGCAACGGCCACAAGTCAAAAAACAAAAAAACATAGGTTACCGTCAATTTATATGTTTTCAATTTCAAATACTCGACGCCCATTGGTCGTGACGAAATTAACTTGGCTCTATAATTTATAACAAAATAGTTATTCTTGCCATAAGAAGCTGTGTATTTCTAGTATCCCAATCATCACAAGCGCCCCTAACGGCGATTTTCGAACTTCATTTAGATCTCAAAAACTGGGCCCATAATTTTTGCGTTCGATTCGCCTCCTCCTTTTAGACTCCATACTCGACGCTCATTGGTCGTGACGAAATCGTCTTCCTCGACAAAATACGGCATATTTTCCAACATAGCCCGCTATAGGGAGTTGAATATTGAATATCCTTCTTCTATATATCCTTGGATCTTAATTTGAAGTTTGAAAAAATATATAATAAATAATATAAATGATATACTTTACGTTATTGCAACTAAATATTCGCTTACCCTGAAGTACCTATTGCTATGGACAGAAGAATCGACGAAAGACTTCGTAAACCAAGACGTACTAGAGGGACACCATTTTATGTTGAAAGAAATTATTGGGCTTTGGGTGCATTAGCAGTTGCTGGTCTAACTGCGATTTTATGGGAGTAATATACATGATATAGTCATTATATTATGTTCAACTAACTGGCTTTAACAAATTTGTATTTTTAGACTATCTCCAGGTGCTCGATATATAAAAGGTCACATGCATGATTGGTTTGATGAGACAGACGAAGCAAAATTAAGGAAGAAACGAATGCAAATTGCTTTAACAAATCCAGCTCTTGATAAAATTATTATACAATCAAACGAACGCTTAATCTCTAAAGATGAGCCAAAGGAACAGACCTGGTTCACAAAAATATTCTCAGAGCCCGACCTCTAAACACAATAGGTGATGTTTTATAAAAGTTATAAAGTAGCAATGGTTTTATTAGTTGTATCTTTGTAATTGTAGCATATATATTCAATGTAATAAATTCTGTAGTGAATTAACCTAAAAGTGATTATTTATTTGCTTCTAAATTAAATAGGTATTTAAGATGACATTACAATTTTAAAGAGCACACATTTGTTTCATTTTAGTTCTCCAAAGTCAAAGTATTTTAATGTTAAAAGTCCTTGTAAATTAAATATGAAGGGTTACAAGTGTAATGTTAAAAAGTTATATAAGTCAGTAGAAATTTCAAATAAAGATGTTAAAATGTTGTTAAGTGATGAAGATCTTTCTGATTTTCAATCTCCAAAACCTGAAAAAGTGAAGACTTTAAAATGGAAAATCAAGAAAGCAGTTGTTACACCACGTAAAAAAAGAGGGAGGAAAAAGAAACAGCAATCAAATCCAACTTTGAAGATAATAGAAGATAATTTCAAACATTCTGAAAATCCTGAACATTTGCAAATGGCAATAGCTTTATCTAAGTCTATATATGATCAGGAATGCCAAATAAAAGGCCAGGCATTAGCTAATGAAGAAACTCCAAATATTAGTGATATATTAAGTTCACATAACAAACCCTCCCTACTAGAAAAATATGGTTTTACATCACATAAATCAGTGCTACCTGTTAACCAAAAAAGGATATTAGAAGTGAGTAATTTCTATATTCATATTTTATAAATAGATATCAATATATTATAAGGTGTTTGAAAAATGCATGGCCCAATTTTAGGTGAGCCTCATCAAAAAATATGGAAAAAGGTTCCTATAAACGTGTCTGGAAATGCATAGTTTTAAAGATACAAGATGTAATTATTTTACTAATATGAAGTAGTTCAGAGACTTGGAATGAATTGTTTTTTCCTCAATAACAGTAATTGATAGGTATATGGTACAAGAGAAAAAAAAAGACTAAAACCTGAACTTAACTTAAAACTATGCATTTCTTGACCCATATTTATAGGAACTTTCTGCTATATTTTTTTATCAAGAATTATCTCCTGAAATTTAGCTGTGGAGAGTGGGTAAAATTGGACGTTTTTAAAGGGAGACACCCTTTTCTATAGATCTAAGACAAAAACTAATATGGGTGTCTGGAGCTTAATTTTTATCAAAAACATGATGGTAAAAACCGCACATCTATATGTGTTACCGTTTTTCGGTTTTCCAAAAACGCGCATTTTTATCAAATTGCTGTAAGTTTTTTGCTATGGAAAATTTTGTATTTTTATGAAAACATTTCCAAAGCACATTTTTACGTAGAATTTAATGGTTTAAGTATATTTTTTTAAATTAATAATTAAGAGTTATCAACAGAAAAATTTATTTTTTATTTGGGACACCCTGTATATTTTTAATTAATTGAAAAGATCTTAAAATTACCTTTCCACAAATATAGCACACTTGATATTTTGTTATAGTCCTTTTCGAAATATAGACTTTTAAAAGTTCGCCATTTTTAACTAGGAGGCTTTGGACCCCTTATTGACGATCTGCCCCTAATGGAACTCGCGTGGAACTGGCAAACATATTTTTCCAAGCCTTGCAGCAAGCCGAGGCATCGCCTCAAAACGCTGAAGTTATCAATCGAGAATAATTGAATAGAGTTAACCAATATCCCAGCCGTTGGCCGTCGAGGCCGCCGGACTTATTGCCTGTGGATTTTTATCTTGGCGGAAGAATAAAGGTTCTTATTTTTAAATTGCGACAAGATAATTCTTGTTGGATTAGAAATACTTAGCGGTTATGCGAAGGTATCTTTTATTCCCACTGAGTTAATGAATTTCGCGAGAAATGCTTAAAAACGGTCCCGTTTGTCCATAACAGAAGACGGCCGACATGTTGAATACCTGTGGCAAAATCTCATGTCTTGATTTGTTACTTATTTTTATTGTTATTAGATATAGTTTAAATTGTTATAAAATTCTGCATTTCTCATTGCAAATATTATTTTCGTTTTAATTGCTGCTCACAGCTAGAATTTTTTTGCATTACAGCCGGCGCCGTTCAAAGCTTACTACAAATCTTACTTATTCAAAGTGGGCGAATTTCTAAAAACTCTATATCTCGAAAAGGAATCGAGCAAAATATCAAGTATGCTATATTTTTGGAAAGATTATTTTATATTCTTTTCAATGAATTAAAAATATATAGGGTGTCCCGTATAAAAAATCAAATTTTCTGTTGATAATTCTTAAATTATTAATTTTAAAAAATTATATTTAAACCATTAAATTCTACGTAAAAATGTGCTTTGGAAATGTTATCATAAAAATACAAAATTTTCCATAGCAAGAAAGTTACAGCAATTTGTTAAAAATGCACATTTTTGAAAAACGCCCCGTAACTCCGCGGTTTTCACCATCATGTTTTTGATAAAAATTGAGCTCCAGACACCGATATTTGTTTTCGTCTATTTCCTGTAGTAAAGGGTGTTTCCCTTTAAAAGTCCAATTTGGCCCACCCTGTACATTTTAAGAACACCCTGTGTAATTTGTCTAAATTTGCATATTTTTAGCCACATGCCAAAAGTAAATCAAGATTCAAATATATTACACCTATATTAAACATCCGTACTACAGAAGAACAACAATCAATTATTGACGCCAAAATTGCTATTATTCTCGCTGAAAACAAACCAGAGACTTCCTACGAAAACTGTAAATTAAATACCAATAAAATATCCAGCACTATTTTAGAACGTTATATTCCTAAGCGTAAAATTTTTTATTCAGAGTATAATAGTGATAACGATTTTTATGTAGACGAACTGGATTTTTCTAAATCTAATATTAAATGTGGATATCTACTGAGAGATTGGCAATCAATACCGTGTAGGGAAGTTTCGCCATGTAGGGAGACTTCATCATGTAGAAATAATAGAAGTGAAAAATTAACAAAATTAACTGAACCGACAAATTCACATCAGGACTTATTTTCTATGCAGGATAGGAAAGAATGTTACATAGATGAGGAAAAACTAATGTCAGCAAAGTGTGAAGATGATAACATTATTATTCACAACAGACAATCTGATTTTCCCAGTATTGTATTAAATAAGTCACCTGTGAGGACTATATCTCCAGATTTGTTTGGTTCGGATGTCGAGTCTGAAAATGAGGCTCTTGACTTATCTCCTATAATAAGTTTAAAACAATATAGTTTTTCTAATAGCCATAAAACTAAAAAAGATTCCCTGTCAATAGAGTTAGCAAGGTCATCAAAAAGTAACAGAGAAAATTCTATCATAGACATTATTGACCTAACTAATGATAATCTTAAGGATTTTTTGTATAAACCTTCAAATAATTCAACTATTGAAGTAGGTAATAAAAATATAAAAAATACTGTAAACATATACAATTTAGATGATTTTGAAAATGATAACAACTTAGGTGATAATACAATTATTTCAGAAAATTTGGATAGATTGGCTAATGTCGAAAATGTTAACATGAATTTGTCTCTGAATAAATTAAGTATTTCATTAGATCATAATCCTGATATCAAATATGATCAACGTAATGTTAACACAGTGGCTTCCGAAAATACTTTACCGAATAATTACTTTTCTGAAGAATGTATTACGCAGTTTAATTATAATTTAAGAAGTGAAAATAAAGACAGAATTGAAGATATCTCAAATTCTGAATTATCATTAAATGGAAATGGGACTCCTAAAAAATATACAAGAACAAATAATAAAACATCATCAAATTGTAAAGCTGATAAATTAAATATTACAACTGCAATTATTAATTTAGATGACAGTGAAAACGATAACGGTAATACAGTTATTTTAGAAAATTGGGATAACTTGAGTAATGTAAGAAATGTTAAGACAAACTTTTCGCTGAATAAATTAAACATTTCCATACATCATGATAATGATAACAAAGATGATCAATGTAATGTAACAAAAATAGTAGCTTCTGAAGATACTTTACCTCAGCATTATTTTGAAAACTTTTCAGAAGTATCTATAATGCAGTTTGATGAAAATTTAAGAAGTGAAAATGAAGATAAAGTTGAAACTATGTCAAATTTTCACCCACTTCACATATCATTAAATGAGACTCCTAAAAAGCAATCAAAAATAAATTATGAAACTTCAGTAAATTGTACTGCTGACAAATTTTGTAATTCTGCAGAATTAAATATTACTCATTATATAGACAACATGCTAAATCAAGAAAATTATAGTTTTGATGATATCAATAGCGAACCGGGGAATTTAAATACTTATGAAAATATGCAGGAAAAAATAGAAAATGTTCCAGAAAGTCAAGGATCCCAAAATAGTACAATTTCAGATGAAGAATTAAATTATTCAAGTTATTTTGGAAAATGTAAGAATATTGCAGAGCCTAACATTGAAATAGAAGATAATCATACTATTAATAGTAAGAAAAATATTAGTCCACCTTTCTTTCACATAGGCAACTTTATATTTTTTTTAGGTGCAATAGCCAACAATACAAGTATAGAGAAAGCCATGAAAAGTTCTGATAAAGTCTCGCATTCATGCCAACAAAAATTAACACCCAATAAGTTAGTTATAAAAACAGATAATGTAACACCAATGCCAAATTATGATGCTATGAGTACACCAATTTTGCATAAAGAACTAGACAAATTTGGTTTGAAACCTTTAAAACGTACTAGAGGAACAAAATTGTTAAAACATATTTATGAGTCTACACATCCTATTGTAAATATTCACAAACAGCTAGATTCTGATGGTTCAGACACTGAGGAAAATCGAAAGACTAAAAAAATTAAACTTACTAATGTTACAGGTCTGCCTAATAATCATTCTGTTTCAAGTGATCCTTTTATATCACTGATAGAAATTGTTGGAGATTGTATTTTAGAGAAGTAGATTTATCTACTGTTTTTATACCTACATCATATTTTAATATACATATTTTAGTGAAAAATTAGAAGATCTTATATTTGAAAGAAAAAGATCAGTGAAGATATCCTCTTGTGCTATCCCCTTACAGATAGTGTGGCATAATTTTGTAAGCTCAAACAAAAATATCCGGCAAAGTATTCTATTATATGAACCACTTCAGTTGGAAACTATTCATATGCTTTTAAAAGAACATGGATATAAGTTTCACATTCAGGTATGGAATACTTATTATTAAATAACAAGTATTTATATATATTTTTAGGATTTACTTACTTTTTTGGATAAAAAATGTATTACAATAAGGACTGTAAGAAAATCTAACCAGAAAAAAAGCTGACTTTTTAAAGCTTCAAAACTATTTTTAATTTTAACTGCTAGTATATTTGTATATTTTAATCCAACTACATATATATTTCAATATCACATCTTATGTTTTATTTACACCCAACCAATATAAATGTGTATCCCTGAAATTTTATTTATTTTATGGTTTAGATGTAAATAATTACTATACACAATAGTTACATTTCAACCCTAGTTTATGGTATTAATTAATATTAAAATTTGTCTAATCTTATTTCTAATGGTCTACTTTAACATTGACATTATTATTTACTTAGCCTGGGCTATAAAGGTTGAAATCTAACTATACAATATGTACCCACTGGTTTCTTAATTTACACAGTACAAATTAAGATGTTTCTTCTTTTTTCTGCTTAATGCGGTAGTCTGATAAAGCTGCTTTAATAGCATCTTCAGCAAGCATTGAACAATGCAATTTCACGGGTGGCAATGACAATTCTTTTGCAATCTCAGTGTTTCTCAATTTCAAAGCTTCATCAACAGTTTTTCCCTTTACCCATTCGGTAGTGTAGGAGCTACTAGCAATAGCAGAACCACATCCAAATGTTTTGAATTTTGCATCAACAATTTTGCCACTCTCATCAACTTTAATCTGTAGTTTCATTACATCACCACATGCTGGTGCCCCTACTAACCCAGTACCGACTCTTTTATCATCCTTATCCAGAGATCCAACATTGCGTGGATTTTCATAATGATCTATTACTTTAGGATGGTACGAAGCTGACAAAATTTTAAAGGGATGACAAAATCCACATAGCGATTTCAATATATTTGAACTGGGATTTAGTGCCATCTTTTACAGCTAAAATATTTAACCGGTTTTATATAAAAATAAATATTGAAATGCAGTCTTACTATTTTCCAAACCGACGTCAAATTCTTTAGTCACTGGGATAACAACACGGGATAACAACAAAATGAATAACCAATATTTTTTTTTAACCCTAGTCCAGTCAAAATCTTTTATCTATGAGTCAGATCTAAAGTTATAAAAAAAAAAATTTATCATATATAATTATCTATTAAAATTAGTCATTGATTAAAATATATGATATTAGTCTTCTATATAACTTTCATCTCTGCTGTGGCTGTAGTATGGAGATGGAAGCGATGGAAGGCTCTAGTTCTAGTTAATTATATTATGGCTCTAGCAACAATTGGGCAAAATTGACAGGAAAACATAACTTAAAATGTGGTCTGTGGTCTGCAGTGACAAAAAACATCTGGCAACTATCTGTGGTTAAATTTTAAAATGGTATTTTAGGTTAAGTAAAATTCTTTAATAACTAAAAAAAATAAAATTTCTGTGATTTTAAAATATGATACAAAAGAGATTTTTAAGGTTCTTATTAATAAGTAAAAATTCCAGAAGCTATTTAAGTTGTCGAGGGATTAGTAAATATATACAACAAGATATATCATCCAAGAGTATTAGACAAACATTCTTGGATTACTTTATTAAGGAAAAAAATCATGTTTTTGTCAAATCTAGTCCTGTTGTTCCATTTTGCGACCCAACAGTTCCGTTTGTAAATGCAGGAATGAATCAGGTACCAATCAATGAAATTGCTATCAGTCAGAAATCAATTTTATTATTAGAAGGTTAGTAGGTATATATTGTTCTTGTAGTTCAAAGGCATTTTTTTGGGGACACAAGTTCCTCACTTCCCAAGAGTAGCTAATAGTCAAAAATGTATTAGAATAGGAGGGAAACACAACGATTTAAATATAGTTGGAAAAGATGGCTATCATCATACATTCTTTGAAATGTTGGGTAATTGGTCATTTGGAGATTGTTTTAAAGTATAAAATCTGTAGTGTACTGTTATAGTTTGTATCATATATTAATTTCAGGAAGAGGCATGCAAAATGGCATGGGAACTGCTAACTAAGATATATAAAATACCACCTGCTCATTTATATACTACTTACTTTGCAGGAGACCAACAATTAGGATTAGCTCCAGATTTAGAAACAAAAAACATTTGGAAATCAATTGGGTATTTAATACACTAACTGTTGACTATGTTTTGAAGTAGTCTCTATAAAATGGCTTTAATTATGTTTTAAGGCTTAAAGATGATAGGATTTTACCGTTTGGTTTAGAGGATAATTTCTGGGAAATGGGTGCAACTGGTCCTTGTGGCCCATGCACAGAAATTCATTTGGATCATACTGGACACATAAACAGATCTCAACTTGTTAATATGGGTTTACATGATTTAACAGAACTATGGAATATAGTATTTATAGAATATAATAGGTAGCAATAAAATACTGTTCCAATTTATGTCTAACAGGTTTTTCATTACAGGTGTCCAAATGGTGTAATTGATAATCTTCCAAAGAAGCACATTGATACTGGGTTAGGTTTAGAAAGACTAACTTGTGCTCTTCAAAATAAATTAAGTAGTTACGATACAGATCTGTTTGATTATCTAATTAATGCTATACATAAGGTATTATTGGCAAATATGTACAAATATTATTAACAACCATTAAGTATTGCATAGAATTGTAGCAATATACCAAAATATTCTGGAAAATTTGGAGAACAAGACTGGAATCACCTTGATACATCATATAGAATATTATCTGATCACACAAGAACGATAGTAGCATCATTGGCTGATGGAATAATACCAGAAGAAAAGTATTATACATTTTTAATTTATAGTAATCTCAGTCTGTTATAGCATAATTTTAGTCAGAAACTTAGAAGGATATTAAGAAGATGTTTTAACTTAAGTCAAAGAGTTTTTGGTAAAGAACAAGGACTTGTCACTGAATTATCAAATTATGTTGTTGAAAACTTAGGAGGAATATATCCTGAAATGGAAAAAAATATAAAACAGGTATCTTAATATTTTCTTGCAAATTGTATGTTTCCATGTAGATCTGGACTTTCTTTGAATTAGGTTCATCATATCATAAAGTTTGAAGAAGAACTATATAAAACATTAAGAGAGTCGGCTGAGAAAGAACTTAAAAAACTCTCATTGGGTAATCTAAATCTAGATAGTAATGATTTAGTTGAAATTACTCCAAGTTTTGTATTGGCATATAAAGAACTTCATAGTATTTTGCCCAATGAAATAGATGGAAATATGGCTTTTAAGTTATATGATACATATGGATTGGATGCAGACAGCATACAACAATTATCTGATATTCTTCATATTTCATTTAACTCATCTAGTTATGCAAAAAAGATGAATGAAGTTAAATTAAAATCCAAAGAATCTAGACAAATTTATTTGAATAGTCCTTTTAATTCTTTAGCAAATAGTGATTTAATGAAAACCGACGATTCAGCAAAATACTCATATGAAAAAAATAACTCTAAATATACATTTTCCAATATATCTTCTAAAGTTTTAAGAATAATAGAGAATAATCAATTTGTAAATAGAGCTAAAAATGGAGCTTCATGTTCATTAATATTGGATAAAACAAATTTCTATTGTGAAGCTGGTGGCCAAGAATCAGATAAGGGTCAGATACAGTTTCAAAATGCTGTATTTCAGATTGACTCAGTTTTAAATATTAATAATTATATCATTCACAAGGGTTATCTAGAAGGTGATGATATTGAAGTTGGTAATGAAGGTATAATGATAATTGATTCAGAATCAAGACTGAAATTTATGCAAAACCACACTAGTGTACATCTGTTAAATGCAGCAATAAAAAAAGTCACAAAAGGAAGTTGTCAGAAGTCAAGCAAAGTGACTGATCAGTATCTAAATTTGGATGTTGCAATATTTGGACCAAAGTTAACCAAAGGACACATAGAAAAAATAGAATGTATTATTCAAAAAATCATAAAGGATAAGATAGATGTTCAAGTGAATATTACAGATAGTCAGGGTTTATATAGCTATGAATCTATTACTTTAATACCTGGAGAAACTTACCCAGATAATAATATAAGGATTGTTGAAATAACAGATAGTTCAGATTTTGTTTCCAGGTATATCTCAAAAATATTTTATAAAATTCCCTTAAGGCAGGATTTATGAACCTATAATTTGAAGTTTAGAATTGTTTTATTATTTTCTCTAACTAACTCACAGCAATAAGGTGGTTTACTAAAATGAACTTCAATTTAAGAGTTTATAAATCCACGTTACAGAATACCTTAGCTATACAAAATCGACAGTAAGCGTGACTTAATGAATAATTTAGTGAATAGAGTTCAAAGGGAGCAGCTTTGAACTCTATTCACTAAATTTTTGGGCTTTGAAGTCACATATTTTGACAAACTCACTTATACAAAGAGATACGAGTTCCGTTAAATTGAGGCAAAGTTGCGTAATTTGATGCTAATCTATTTTTGATGTCACATTAAAAGTTTAAACTTTCCGAATACCTTTAAATTTTTTTTGAACATTTAATTTTTTTTATGTGCGATACATCATTAATTTTGGGATCTTAAAAGGACTTAAAATCTATAATAAAAATCCACGGCCTTATTTAAAAAAGTTCAAGATGGCAGCTGAAAGGCAAAATGTCGGTTTGAAAATCTGATAACACTATCTAGCGGAACAAAAAAAGTAGCAATTGTTGTCCTCCATTCGCGAATTTCAAGTTCCAGAGCTTTACGCCCTGGGCTACTCGAGAACGGTTCTATCTGTATAATGGCACACACTTATAATCACTTTATAGTTTAAACACCTCATTTTACAGATTTATAACTTTTTTCACCCTTCTATTATCGATGTAGCAATACCACCCCGCTACGCGCTACGACAGGCGCCGCCGCGCCGAGCCGCGCGCCGTCGCCCCGGAGCAGGGGGCGTGAAATATCGATAACATACATAACATATACTATAAACAATATCTATTTTTTTATTGTTTTTTTTTTCTCATATTATACACTATTGTGAACTTAAAATATTCCTTTATTAAATTTGATTGATAAAAAGTGAGAGATAAACATTTATTGACTGGTATGATTTTTTTCCGTATTCTAATAAAACTATTTTTATATACTATAATATTTTTAAAAACTCCGAAAAGACATTTTAAAACTTCGAAATATATCTGGCGAGTGAAAAAAGATCCACAATTTGAACTTTTATCGGGTAATTATCAACGCTGCTAAATAGAGTTGGGCCTCCAGTTGGTGACGTCACGAGATTTTTACGTCACAGCTGTCCGGCCTTGTTATTACGGTGGTTACGGTTAAAGCCCCTTTACAATCAAGAAGTGTTTTGGGAATTGAAGAAAAATTATTTACCGAGTTATTAACTGTATTCTTTGCTCCTTACATCCCATAAACACTTCATATTGTGGTAAAGATCTATAAACCCATCAATATCCTCCGGCGATAACTTATTTGCCGCCATTTTTGTCAATAAACAAAACCGGTACTCGTAATTCGTAATGAAATCGGATCTCACTCAACTTTGAAACAAACACGTATACGATCTACGAGTTCCTATTTACATATGCGAAATCGTATACGATTTGCTTACTCGTAAATGTAATTTCGGCTTATGACTCAGTTCAATGGAGTGAGAGTATCGCGTTCTTGAACAGTTCAGAGCTGCACAACTGCGTGAATGGAGGACAGTAATTGAGAATGTGAAATGTGTTTTGTTATATACAGGGTTTCCCAGAAATAAGTGCAAGTATTTTAAGAGGTGGTAGATCTCGATAAAAGAAAAATATTTCTTTTTTTTTTCGTTTTTCAAATAAGTCCAAAATAACGGAGTTATTTTACTTTGAAAATTAAAACAAAATGATTTTTTTGCTCAAAATTTGAGATTGCTGGAAGAAACCGTCGGCTCTTTTGATGTGGTGGGACCAAATTTTCTTTCTCTCTCTTTTGACGAGTTTGACAGATAGACTACGTATTTAACTGCTCAACTTATGAAGTGGTCCTATAAACATGGTATACACTGCTCATAATTTGAAGTGGAATGAATTATAAAGTTTTATACATATTTTTTTTGTTCTGTTTTATCCTTATTTCTAAATTTAAATGTATAAAATATCTTACAGCTAATAAATAATTAAAAAAACGATTCGTTGCCTGAGGTATACTTGAAATAAAGTATATAGAGATATTTGATAAATGGCAACAGTGGCAACTTCGCTTCTTCATATGACAGATAACCTACTTATTTCGCGCAGCCGCAAAGAAAATTGAAAACGGGACTGTTGCTACTCGTCGGTTTACTTATAACAGCTATTAAATTGGAAGATTTCAAGGACATGTTTGAAAAAATGACATAATGCTGTTTTATTATAAATGCTATTTTGAATTTATTTCTGTAATCTGTACATTTTCTGTTTCCTCAATAGCCTGCAAATTTTGTGGAATACCACCCAAAAAAACACATTTTTATGTAAATTCCTAATAATGTTAACGCTTAAATTTATTTAAGAAAAGAACATTTTTTTTAACCTAACCAACAATTGGTATTTATACTGGTTTACAGTAATTTTGTTAATTTATATGAATATTTTCGTTGATTATTGGTTTGAAATAAATATGACTATGTCCTCCAATGAAAATGCGAGTTGCTTAACTCTAATAATTCTAATTCTGAGCTTAGTAAATAAGCTCAATGTTTTACATAGACCGTTATTCAGAAGCTACAAACCTCTCTATGAAAATATGAATGAAAATTTACTTCCTAGGACATAACCAGAGCATATTGGTACCCAGGTACAGTATCAAGTTTATTTATAATGCTTTTCTTAGCATTAAATCAAATGTTTTTTGGTGTTTGCGCGATCCTTACCACTTTTTTCTCGCCAGCCCGTGCGTCAAAGCATGGTCAAGATCACGTTGTGTCAAGGCCGTGCTGTGTCGGGGCCTTGAATTTTTACTTCCATCGCGCGTAAAGAAGTTTCACTTCAATAAAAATGAAATCGCGAATATCTTCGGAATAGGATTAAATTTTTAATGTGACATTTGGATCAGCATCAAATTACATAACTTTGCCTCAATTTAACGGAATCTCTTCTAGTTTACAATATCCCAATTAGGGAATGCAATCCCGCAAATGCGGGATCCCTCTGAGATTCCGCAGGATCAAAGTTGTGGGATTTACCGTGCGGGATCTGCGGGATCGACCTATTACTACTGGGTAATCGAATCGATCTCGATCAGGGTCAAACCGGTTCGTTCCAGGCCGATGCGTCGACGGTCGAAACCCGGGGGATTCCCCTTACGGCTTGGCCATTAAAAATAAGTGAAACAAACAGGTTACTTGTTAGATTTCTTTCTGACATATGTGCGTAAGTGAAGAAAAGCATTTAACTAGTACTTGTGGACAATTTCGTCAAATAAACTGACGGACATATGTAATTATCGGGATAAGCAAAATTTTAGGGTAAATTTAAAGTTGAATAGGTATCTCTTGAACTAAAAAAGATTTTGGGATGCGGTTTGGACCAGGTTTTAGATGTATCTATTGTAATTAAGATGCTATGGTTTTCGAAAATATATTTAGCGAATTCTCGTATACAGGGTGTTTTATAAGAGTGTGAAAATTTGGTCAAGAATCTTTTTTACCGCAAATTTACAGTTTTTAAAAAATCGAAATTTTTACCAAGTACGAGTAATCTGTATTGAAATTAGAAAAAATAATTTGATAGGTTTTTTAACTTTTTTTTGTTTTAATGAAAATACGTTTTTTTTTAAAATATGCATTTTTAGTCATACGTTTGGTCCTAAATGGTACAAAAAGCTTTATACATTCTGCATAGGCCAAAAAATTATTGATATAGAGTGTATCTAAAAGCAGATAACTAACACTAAGTTAAAAAAAACTTTAACATCAGAATAATATTTTTATTTATAAAATAAGTAGATAAATAATTATAATAAAATTTAAGTTTATTTAATATTAAATATATTTTTTGAACACCCTGTATACATCGGTCCAAATTTCTGTACATCTAGTTTAATATACACGCTATATCAACATATTGTGGGCCTATGCAAAATGTACAATGCCTTTTGTACCATTTAGGATCAAATGTATGACTATTGTTTACAGTCCCGCAATTTTACGGATCCGCGGGATTGACTGCTGTAATCCCACGGGTTTGCGGGATTGAGATTTTGGTGCGGGATTGCATTCCCTAATCCCAATGATGAGGGTCGAATTTGGAACACCCTGTATACTGAAAAAATCTTTAGAATTTTATTGGAATAAATTTTCAAATTACCGAGAAAAATAATTTTCTTATGTAACAGTTATTGTGATGTTTTTAATTTTTACTAAATTAATTTAGTGAATACAATTTGAAATATAATTTAAATTTATACTTGAATTATAAAGGCGATTAAAAAGGCATAAATAGGCATTTAAGTGTCTGTTCTTTTCTTGACGTTTCTTTACATTCAGACCTAAAGTATACCTAAAAAAATAAAGAGGAAGTAATAACACTTGCCAATAACTCCTAGAAGATTAAGAGTTATTGCATTTACCTTCTTTTCCAAACTATACTTTCAATTATTTCAGCGGTTATTAAATTATTATAAAACCCATTAACAGATAACAGCGTTTTTAAGGAGTTTTACCAGTGGCGGCTCGTGAATTCTGCAGGAGGGTGGGCACAGCCTTCGCAAGGAAAAAATTGATTTAGTTTTCATGTTAGAAATGACATTATTATTTGATTGTAATATAGTGTAACGTAAAATATCATCATGCACACTCAATAATTATATACTTATTTCTTTCCATTTATCTAGGCGGTTGGGTGACACGTGCTCCTGTGTCTTTTAGCCCACAGTCAAATGTAAACTCAGCCGCCACTGAATTTTACTAATTTCAAAAATGTGTTGAAAAAATTTTTTTATTAAATATTTTTTGCAAGTAAAGGACTAGTTTTTTACATCAAGGCTTATGTCAAAGCTTTATATGCATAATGTTACATCGTCCCGAGTTGGTTTTATGGAATTTTATTGGTTTATTTAAAGAATTACACGTAATACGTCAATACGATTGGCGTGACGTAACGACGGGCGACGCATGACGGATGCATAAAAACCAAATGACATACTTAGTTATAACTTGGTCTGCGAAAAAATCGCTAATGTCGTTTCTGTATAGTTAGGAAATTCTGTGACCAGGCAAACATTTAAATTCATTATTTTTAGGGAACCATGCTGTGGCACTCATGTGTTGAATACTGAAGATATCGAAGATTTTTGCATAATTAGTTCAAAATCATTGGGTAGGAGCACTGTTTCATTACACGCTGTTACTGGTGAAAGAGCAAAATTAGCTAGAAAAAATGCTTCAGAACTACAAGATGATATAACAATTTTGAAAATGACTCTAAGTGAACATCTAGATAATGTATTAAGAACATTATTTTTTAATATGATATATATTTTCTACTATTCTTTGTAGCCCGAAATTTTAGATATGGCAGTTTCATCTCTTAAACAAAGACTACATTTTGATGTTACAGATAATACTATAATACCTGTGGTATCTAAGCATGATATTCTTAATGATCTTAATGAGATAGGAAGGAAAATAAATGAAACTGGGCGAAATAAATTAAAGTAATTTGTGAAATAAAATATTGCAATTCTCTTTTTTAAAATTTAAATATTTTTAGAAATTTTATTGATCTTGAAATGCATGATGCCTTAAAATCAAGTATATCATTGACAAAGTCAAATAAAAAATATATGGTGCATTATTTAAGAAGTTCAGTGATGTTAGAATCAGTGCCTTTGCAAAAAGCCACTAAAATGTGTCCGGATATACCTGTCATAATTATTTCATATTCTGATAATATGGTGAAGGCAAGATGTTGTGTACCAAAGGTATGCATACAAAATGGTCATACTTGGTAAATTAAAAAAAGCAATTATAAAATACGTACCATACTATCGAAAAAAAATGGGTTCAGAGATGGCTTGGGAATGAAGAACGATGTCATTTTGTGTGTAAAATTACATGGGAAACGTCATCGCTCGTCATTTCCAAGCCAACTGGACGCCGTTTTTTTCAATCATATATAATAATGAAATCTTAATAAACTATTACATTATATAATGTCTGCAAAAAAATTCGCAACAAATAGACATTGTTATTATTCAGTTATTGAAAAAAGTTTATGCGGATTTACTTCAGCATGACATCATGCCTAGTGACAAAAAATATTATTTTGAACTGATTTGCGACAACTACTACGCAGCAGTTGAGGTTCAGCATTTTTGCATTTATAAACTGTCAGTTTCGGTTGTAGGTTAGGTTTGGAATTGTGAAAATTTCGAACGTTTTTCTTTCGATTTAAAAATACTTTTGATATTTTTCAAAGTTCAAACTTAATAATCTAAGCGTAATCCAAAATTATATCGGGTGTTTCTTAAAAGTGGCTCACCCCAACTTTTTTATTTTTTTTTTATATAAAAAACGAGATTTGGTATGTTAGTATATGATATAAATCAGGATTGATTGATGTATTCAATTGTTTTCGGTCACTTCCTGTTTCACCGGAAATAACTACAACTTTGGATTTTTAAAGGACACCCTCGGTAATTTTTTACTTTATTCAATAGAAATGACACTCTGAATAGAATTACATACCATATGTCAACTTTTTACGTTTTCGCTTATGGTTTATTTGAAGTTGTATCATGCGGTTCATAACGAAAATTTGACTCGAAATAACAAGTGTGTGGTACCAAATTATTCGTAAAAAATGCTTTTTCCAAATATGCTAATGTGCCACCCTCGTTCCATTTGAAAAAAATGAGATATGATTAAAAATACGATTTGGGCATCTTTTACTTGGCCAGGACAAGACAGGAAAAACATTAGTCTGAAAAAAAAAATACTGAGATTGCCATTTAAAAATTAAAAGTTTTAGCCATTTCCGGTGAAACAGGAAGTGACCGAAAACTATTGAATACGTCAGTAACATACCAAATTGACAGTAACATACCAAATCTCGTTTTCTTGTCAGAAAAAAAAAGTTATAGAGGTGAGCCACTTTTGAGAAACACCCATTTCAAATGCATCGGCGCCGCCTCTCTTTTCCATGCTTCACGTGATCCGTCAGGCGCTTATTCATTGGCTGACGTTCGAGCCGCCGAACGTCGCGAACGGTCGCCAACTATCGACTTTGACCATCACCATCTCTCAACCACTCTGAAACTCTGAACTCCATTGAACGTAAAACGAACTGCCAACTTTTCCACCAACTGACTTTATAAATGCACGCGTTCATTTCATAGTTTTGAACATTTTGAACCTCAACTTAACTTCAACTGCCGTGTTTATAAATCCAGCTTTATTGAGGTACATTACAAAAAACAATAAACCTTTTTTAATATAAAGTGAGGTTAAGTGACAAATTATACCCAAGTTATGCGATATTAGACATAAGTCTGGAAACTGATGTTGGTCCAAACAAGAGTGTAAAATCTGTCAAGACGCACAGCTCACAAGTAGTACCAAAGTCACTATTTTAAAGATGAAAAAGCAAAAACACCCGCCGGATGAGATCGGAATCGAGGTCGGTAAGCGGTAAGCCAATGGCTCAGGCTGTGTACTGTGTACTGCGGTTCGGATTCTGCGTAAACAAAAAAGGCTCTCTCCGGATAAGTCCTAGCACTAAAAAGGAGAAGTTAAGACTTTAAGAGAGCAAAACAGGGTAGAATTCGATTTTGTGATTGATATGTTTAATTTTAAGATATGAAACACAATGTTGGAATGACTTATTGAAAAGGAAATATTCAACATAACATATATTAGTTTTTTCGTCTGGAATACAATATCAGATCATTAGATAAGGTCTGTAAAGTTAATTTGAATGTGTTGGTTCAAACATTTTTTTTTATAGCCCATTGCAACAAAGTTTGTCGGCTGACAATTAACATATATTTAGTTTTTTACAATATATTACGAGAGAATAAATCTAAAAGTAATCTAATAAATTGCATTGCATAAATCTAAATCATTGCATTAGAAATTATTTTTTACTAGAGTTGTCTTTGTTTTATGCCATTCTAATGAAAAAAAAACAATAATTAAGTCTTTGAAAAATAATGGAACAATTTTTTAAGTCTTTGTTTATTTATGAAACTTGGTACACAGACTTTAAAAAAAATATATTTTGAACAACTTTTTATGTATTGTCAAGGTGTATTACTGGTTGCATAACTGCATACTGCTAAAAATCCTGGCGCATTCGCCAGAAAGTAAAGAAAATTATAGAATTCTTTAGAAAAATCTAGAAACAATCGCCAGGGGGTATATAAGGCCCGCGCTTTGACAGTTGGAAAAGTTTGAAGTCAAGTCTGAAGATAGTCTGAAGTTTGAAAATACCGCGAAATACCGTTAGAGTAATAGTAGTTGCATAAGTTGTGTTGTAAATAGTATAAGTTGTGTGTACAGAGTGAAACAAATAAATTCGTTAAGTATTTTATCGTGAGTTTAAATAGTGGACCCACGGAATCCGTAACAATTGGTGTCGGAAGTGCGATTCAAGAGGATTTTAAGAAGAAATTAAGTGGATTGGAAGATTTTTAGACCGGATTAGAGTATTTTTATGGTTGGTACAAGGGAGCAAGCGAAGAAAATGGAGGAAGTAAGCAAGTTATTAGAAGGTTTTATGGAGAATATGAGAAGAGAAAAATCAGAAGAACAGGATCGCCTACTGAAAATTCTAGAAAATCAAGACAAAATTTTCGAAGATTTAAAAATTCAACGACAACAAGACAAACAAGAAGAGCAGGACCGGCTTGAGAAAATTCTCGAAGATTTGAAAGCTCAACGACAGCATGATAAACAAGAAGAACAGGACCGGCTTGAGAAAATTTTCGAAGATTTCAAATTTCAACGACAGCACGACAAACAAGAAGAACAAGACCGGCTTCAGAAAATATTAGAAAATCAGGAAATTCGACTTCGGAAAAGCTTCGGGGACATGGAAAAAAAGCAACAAGCAATGTTGGAAGTACGTTGCCAGGAACAGCAGAATCACTTCCAAGAAGCCGTAGAAGATCTGGAGGAACGCCTTCAGCAGAAAATGGAAAAATTAGAGATGGACCTACAGAAGACCAAGGTACAAGTAAGGACACCTGGCGTTCATGGAACTGCGAACCTCAAGGCCCCGACCTACGATGGACAGACCACCTGGACGATGTACCACCGCCAGTTTGAAGCAGCGGCTGCTGCCAATGGATGGACTGACCAAGAGAAAGCAGCAGCACTTGTCATCGCGCTGCGTGGCCCTGCCCTAGAACTGTTGCAAACTATTCCGGCAGCCCAACAACAGGAATACCAAACTTTGATTGCTGCACTGGACAGAAGATATGGCGACCAACATCGACGTCAACTTTACCAGGCCCAGATCAAGACACGCCTGCAAAGGTCCGGAGAGAGTCTGCAGGAATTTGAAGCAGATTTACGTCGGCTGGTACACCTGGCATATCCAGAAGCACCGGAAGGATTTAGGGAGGAACTCGCTGCTCAGTGTTTTATCAGCGGACTGAGGGACAACGAACTGCAGAGGGCGCTGCAAATATCCCGATTTTCTACCAGCAGCGAAGCACTGGTCAGGGCGCTAATAATTGAAGCTGCTTTTAGCGCCATCCCTAGACCGAAGATAAGATCGGTAACGGTCGAGGAACAGCCCGGAAGTTCTCACATACGTTTGGAGGAGATGTTTAGTAAACTATGTGAGTTACTAGTGAACAAGGGTAGCAACAACACCCAGACAGAGAACCATAGAAGATCCCAGGACATAAGGTGCTTTAGATGTGGCAGGAATGGCCACATTAAACGGGATTGCCGCGTTCAAATGCGATCCCGTTCACCATCCAGAGAACGTAGGCACCAGGAAAACTAAAATCAGTCAATACTAAGGGGCGAGTATTGACTGGGGAGAACTGAGAGCCCCAGGATTTTTTTCCATTAGAAGTCTAGGAAGAACCGCTGACAGTTTGGTGATCGACGGGAAAGTCAATGGAAAGGGAATCCGAATGACTGTGGACACTGGCGCTATGGTATCGTTGGTACGGGCTAACTCAGTGCAAGGATTGAAGCTGATGCCTCTGGGAAGAAGAGTGTGTTTACGTACAGTTACGGGGGAAATGGCCGTTGTACGGGGAGAGGTTATCGTCGAACTGAAGTTAGGAAATTTGAAGTTTCAGCATAGCGTCTTAGTGGCAGATATTGAAGATGACTTCATCTTGGGCATGGATGTGATTCGTCAACATGGATTTTCGTTCGATCACCAGAGAAATATCTTAAATATTGGAAATGAAGAGTTCATGTTATCTCCAGACAGGGACCAGGAAGAATGGATGTAAGATCAGCGGAAACTGTGGTGATACCTGGTAATACCGAGAAGATCGTATTCGGTAAAGTGGAGAAAATCGCTGGGTGCTGTGTTGGACTGGTACAAAGTGTCGACAAGAAACAAGATAGGTACTTAGTAGGAAAATCATTGGTGAACACCGACAAGAATATACCGATCAGAGTTGCGAATGTTTTCCCGAATTGTGTCAAGATTCAAAAAGGTGACAAGATAGCCATCTGCGAACCTGTAAGAAGTGTCAACCCGATGTGATCAGTGCCGTCAGCTGTTACACAAATGACATCCAAAGAAACACTAAAACATCTAGAGCAGCCATGGGATCACCTAACATCTGAGGAGAAACAGAAGGCTAAGGAGTTCCTGTTTAGGCATGGCAGTATTTTTGAAAAGAACAACAGTGGAAGAACAGATTTTGTGAAGCACCGGATTAAAACTGGTCATGCCCAGCCTATTCGACAACGTCCTAGAAGGGTGCCCCTTTCCAAACAACAAGAAATGGAGACCATGGTAGATAAGATGCTAGAAGATGGAGTTATCGAAGAATCATCGAGTCCATGGTCATCTCCTGTTGTTTTGGTGACGAAGAAAGATGGTAGTACACGATTCTGCGTGGACTATCGGAAGCTCAATGACGTCACTAAGAAGGACAGCTACCCACTGCCACGTATAGACGACACGTTAACCACACTGGCAGGTCGTGCTGGTTCTCCACTCTCGACTTAAAGAGTGGATACTGGCAAGTTGGTCTGGACGAGGAAAACAAAGAAAAGACGGCTTTTCTACAGGAAACGGACTATACCAATTCAAGGTCATGCCGTTTGGATTATGCAATGCTCCAGCCACTTTCGAACGTCTCATGGAGGTGGTGTTAAGAGGATTAACTTGGAAAACGTGCTTGGTTTACCTCGACGATGTATTGGTTATGGGAAGAACTTTTGAGGAGCATTTGCGAAATCTAGAAGAAGTCTTCGGCCGCATACGGAATGCTCACCTGTACTTGAACCCGAAGAAGTGTAGCTTATTCCAGCGACAAGTGGAATTTTTGGGCCATGTAGTCTCAGCAGACGGAATTTACACTGACCAGAAGAAAATCGCTGCAATCAAGGATTGGCCTAAACCTCGCGACAAACATGAACTTAGAAGTTTTCTGGGTTTATGCACCTATTACAGAAGATTTGTCAAGGGATTTGCCAATATAGCTGCACCCTTACATAGACTTACAGGTGATGAAGTCGGCTACGAATGGAACACCGATTGTGATGTAGCCTTTGGAAGACTTAAGGCGGCTTTATGTTCAAGTCCTATTCTAGCCTACCCGCAACAACAAGGGAGGTATATCCTGGATACCGACGCCAGCAATATCGGCATAGGTGCAGTGCTATCACAAGTGCAAGATGGCGAAGAACGAGTGATAGAATATTACAGTCGAGTTCTATCCAAACCAGAAAGGAATTACTGCGTTACCCGGAAGGAGCTGCTAGCAATTGTGAAGGCAGTTGATCATTTTCATAAATATCTGTACGGCCAAGAATTTTTAATTAGGACAGATCATGCGGCTCTCAAGTGGCTTATGGAGATGAAACAACCTGAAGGTCAAATAGCACGATGGCTCGAGAAGCTCCAACAGTATCACTTTACCATCCAACATCGTGCTGGAAAAATGCATGGTAACGCAGACGGTTTATCCAGAAGACCCTGTCAAACCGATTGTAAGCACTGCTGTAAAACGGAACAACGTGAAGGCACTGTCATGATAAGGAGTTTAAACTTGGAACCGATGAACAGTGGACGACGACACAATTGAGGAAAGATCAAATGGAAGATCCAGACATCGGAGCAATACTACGGCTCAAGGAAGGTAACGGCGAGAGACCACCGTGGCAGGATATTGCGGACAGAGGGCTCGTTTTCAAAGCTCTCTGGGCTCAGTGGAATTCACTGGTTATTGAGAATGGATTGTTAAAGCGCACATGGGAAAGTGCGGATGGCAGCACAGTAACAACTCAGTTACTGGTACCAAGGAAGAAAGTTACCCAGGTATTGGAAGAAATTCACGGTGGTAAAACTGGAGCCCATCTTGGGGTAAACAAGACCTTGAGCAAGCTGAGAGATCGCTTTTACTGGGTGGATTATTGCGAAGATGTCAAGAAATGGTGTCGACAATGTAAAATTTGTGCAGCCAGCCAAGGACCAAGCACTCGATCTAGGGGAAAAATGAAACAATATAACGTTGGACTGCCATTCGAAAGAATCGCTGTTGACATTGCAGGCCCATTCCCTGAAACGCACAAGGGCAACAAGTACGTTTTAGTGGCGATGGATTATTTCAGTAAATGGCCAGAAGTTTTTGCCATTCCAAACCAAGAAGCATCGACTGTAGCTGAAGTATTAGTCAATAATGTCTTCAGTAGATTTGGAATTCCTTTAGAGCTTCACACTGACCAAGGAAGGAACTTCGAGTCAAGACTGTTCCAGAAGATGTGTGATCTGCTTGGTATTCACAAGACTAGGACAACAGCTTTACATCCGCAGTCTGATGGGATGGTCGAGAGATTCAATAAGACCATTGAAGAACATCTCTCGAAAATGGTGGATGAACATCAAAGAGATTGGGATCAGCATATACCACTATTCCTAATGGCATATAGAAGTGCAGTTCACAACACCACCGGACTTTCACCATCGAAGATTTTATTTGGTCGAGAATTACGGTTGCCTTGTGACTTGGTGTTCGGATCACCAGACGACAGCACCACGAACGTAGAGGACTACGCGGATGAACTGAAGGAAAGGTTATTGGGAATTCATAAGGCCGTGAGAAGTAAGATTACGCTAGCCAGTGACCGGATGAAAGCTCGTTACGACCTCAGAGCTAATTCTACGGGATTTCAACAGGACGATATGGTATGGTTATATAACCCACAGCGCAAGAAAGGGAGGTCCCCAAAGTTAACTCCAGCATGGGAAGGTCCTTATACAGTCATCAAGAGGATAAATGATGTTGTGTACCGGATTCAACGCAGCCCTAGAAGTAAGATGAAAGTAGTTCATCTGGATCGATTGAAGAGATACCAGACAGGAAACCTTGATCGGGACGATCAAATTTGAGAAGGGGGCAATGTCAAGGTGTATTACTGGTTGCATAACTGCATACTGCTAAAAATCCTGGCGCATTCGCCAGAAAGTAAAGAAAATTATAGAATTCTTTAGAAAAATCTAGAAACAACCGCCAGGGGTATATAAGGCCCGCGCTTTGACAGTTGGAAAAGTTTGAAGTCAAGTCTGAAGATGAAAATACCGCGAAATACCGTTAGAGTAATAGTAGTTGCATAAGTTGTGTTGTAAATAGTATAAGTTGTGTGTACAGAGTGAAACAAATAAATTCGTTAAGTATTTTATCGTGAGTTTAAATAGTGGACCCACGGAATCCGTAACAGTATGTTTTCGTTATTGGGTATGCTGAAGAAATTCTGCATAATTTTTTTTCAATATATGTAATTGGTTTGAGCCTTTGTTGCGAAGTATTATATTCTGGCCTCGTCTCATAAATAATAGTGTGTAGGACCAAACAAGTAGTACCAAAGTCACTATTTTAAAGCTGAAAAGGCAAAAACACCCGCCGCTCGTCCTGCAGCACTGCTCCATATTCAGTCTTCCTTTTAGTGCCCACGGATCACATTTAACGGCACGCGTTAAATTTTCAATTTATTTACCTTTTGATTTCCTTTTCGGGGTGCGGATAACTTAAAAGTGCCGAATCCTTCAAGAAAAAGACATAGAGAGAGGTGTCGTAGTAGGTCTGCGACTCATAACGATATTAATGTAGTGTTTAAAAAATAGAACGTCAAGATGAATAAATAGGAAAACAACAGAAGAAACGACGCCATCTTTCGATCATTTAATGTCTACCACGACTGGGTCCGATTCGCCGTATTTGAGTTATCAGGGTTAAGGCAGCTATGTCAGGGCATAATATCAACGGATGGCGATATGGGCAATTATGTGCTGTTGTAATAGAAAATAGTATGTACATTTTCTAAGCATATAAAGTATTTTACGCTACTTGTTAGCTTATTTAGATCTGTCTGTCTAGGGTGGCAGATACAAATTTTATTACAATTATTTCTAGAGTTGTCTAATCCTGATAGTTTGTATCAGCATTTAGACCATCTTCTGTATGATTGTTACGATATTTACCTAGGGTGGTAATAAATAAATAAAAATGAAGATAATTAAAAAAGAGGGAGGGGCAAATAAGTACCACATCGAAAGTTTAAATGACGTTCAACAAACTTACTCTATAGGTAATTCATTTTTGAATTATTTCCGTTGCAACAACAGCTTTAAAACAGACTGAAAATGGAGCAGTGCGGCAGGACGAGCGGCGGGTGTTTTTGCTTTTTCAGCTTTAAAATAGTGATCGGTTCGGGCTAACCCGAAGTTACTACATACTATTATTTATTTCGACGAGGCCTACATATAATCAAGGTCGAAGATCACTTAAGGAAATTTGTTTGATCTTATGATTTTAGGAATATTTAAATGAAAATTTCAATGCACAAAAGTGGTTGGAAAAAACGATAGCGGCAGTATTTAAAAGTAAAATTGCGCCTCCTAAAGGTCAAGATGAAACACTGGTATGTAATATGAAAGCACGGAGAATACATGTACAAAATTGGGATAGTTTGTTAGCAGAAAGTATAAAGTGTGCTAAAGATTATATTAACGATAATTTGTAAAATTTAATAGTTTGTTAATAAATTTTTTTGTCATTATCTGTTTTAAGATTTTTTTCTTAGCAAATTCTATTCTACACAGAGCAGTGTAGCTACAGCTTACCAGAGCTACAGTATAAAATCATTGTCATAAGGCACAGAGTGGCACATATAAATAAAACTACTAAAGTTGTATTTTTTAATGGTTTTACACCCTGTATATTATTAAATTTTTAGTTTCTACAATTGAAATAAAGGTATATTTGATATCATAGACTCATAGACGTCTTTATGGGTCAAATATACTACCCTTAAAAATATTTGCACTTATTTAAGACTCTGTATAACCCATAAGTATTATATCATTTTTAGGTCATCTATCTCTCTTTGAGTTTTTGTACAAAATGTATATTTTTATCAGATTTTATTCCTCATACATGATTACAGGTGGGAATTCTAGTTCCTTGGGAGGAACTAGTTCCTTAGTTCTAGTTCCTCCAGAGGAATTGTTCCTTGAACTAGGTCTTTAGTTAACAATAGTTCCCGACTAACATTGACATCTCCCTTGCTTGCTAATGCGTTTCGTTGTCAGTCAGAACTATTCATAGTATGATCTGTATAATTTTTATAATGTACGGAGATTAGCGAAATTGGAACAACTTTCGTTGCACGTCATCAATGACACCATGCGTCGTCTTATGGAGTTTGCTGGTGGTCGTATTATGATGTGCAACGAAAGTTATTTTAATTTCCCTTATAGGTAAGTTTTACTGCAGATAAAAAAAATAAAAAAGAAACTCAAATCAGAGTTTAAAAAACTATATCACAAATCAATTAGAGCAAATATTACAAAAATTTTACGAAAAATTGCATTTTTCCTCACTTCAAGCTTTTTGTTTTTGTCTAAAAATTCAGAATATCTACTTCGTTTTATAAGATATTTCTTAATTTTAGGGACCTAAAGTGAAACATTCCCATAAAATATTTAAAAAACAAACTAAAAATCAAAAACAGTATCCACAACAATTTTCTGTGGTAATTACGCTGCGCCGGCTGTGGCAATAGACAAGGCCGAATCCATCGTCGTCGCCTTGTATTATATCTCGGATCTGCCGACTGAATAGATTCCTGTGAACTAGTCTGTTAATAGTTCCTTTATGTCCGGATCCGATAACATACGGCTGGCACTCCCCACGCCTGCCTAGCATCGATCGCGCTGGCTGATCCATACGTAAACGGTTTATTTAGTTCCTCTAGTTCCTTTAGGTCCGGATCCGATAACATACGGCATATGGCTGGCACTCCCCACTCCTGCCTAGCATCGATCGCGCTGGCCCGATTCGTACGTACGTAAACTAGTCTTTTATTTAGTTTAATTCCTCTAGGTCCGGATCCGATAACGTGCGGCTGGCACTCCCCATTCCTGCCTACCATCGGGCTACGCGCGCTAGTCGATCCGTCGCCGTCGCATCAGTGTTGCCAGGTTAAATATTTTTATTTCCCTAGCATAATCTCAAAAAATTCCCTAGAAGTTCCCTAGATTCTCAGTTCCAAAATTCCCTATAATTTCCCTAGAAAACGTTTTATTTCCCTAGATTTTTCCCGGTTTCCTATTTAAAAAAGTTTTTTATATGTTTTTTTAATGTGCAGGTATTTTATCTGGTATCTACGAGTACGAGTACGTGTTTCCTTCATAAATAAATAAGTATAGTAAACTATTTAGTTCAGATTTTGCATAAAAAAATATTACCTATTATAATTTGTAGGTTATATTATATTGAAAACCATTCTGTCAACATAATAATATTACATGATATTACTATATAGAACACAAAATAAACAAAACAAAAACATTGAACAAAAAATAATATATTCCGAGTAATACTATAACGAATAGACTATATACTCTACCTAGTCAGTATAGGTGCAAGATATATTTGCTTTAAAAATGTATTTCGATTTAAGAAACACAATTTAATAAAATTTTCTGAAAATTCCCTAGAATAGTAAAAAATTCCCTGTAATACTAAAAAATTCCCTGAAATACTAAAAAATTCCCTTTTTCCCTGCAGAGTTCATTTTTTCCCTAGATCTAGGGAAATTTCCCTGCCAATGGCAACACTGCGTCGCATATCATTCTATATTGGTCACAGTCTCGATCCCGGAATAGGTCCTGAGGTACTAGTTCTTTGAGAAACCAGGGACTAGTTCCTTTCATTCCGGGGTCGGAATAGTTCATTGGAACTAGTTCGTTCACGAACTACACACCTCTATACAGGATTGGCAAGGTCTGGCATTGAGTGCCGATTTTCGTGTGTATGCTCTTATGAACTTATCTGAAGATCGCTATAGCGATTTACTTATAGACGTGTAAATACCGACTCTACGACGATATCTACTACCCAATCCTACGACGATATCTACACCCATGGAATCTATTGTAGATTTTTTCCAAGCAACTAATTTACAAATTTTGCAGATGTTTTCATTAACAATCATTCATAATCCAATCAGTATGATTTTTTTGAAGAACTTTTTCTATCAAACATTGGTTCAAAATTTGTATAATATAAAATTAAAAAACAAAATTCTTTATTTTTTTTTATTTCATAAATACAGTATCAACAAGCTTAACATTTAATGCGACATTTATATATATTTCACATCAGCCATAATTTTAACAATGAAGCCTATACTTCTTAACAATGTTTCATTTTTTTTAATAAATAAACAATTCATATCGTAATATATATTAATACATGTTTATTTTAGTAGACAATTATAATTTTACTCGCCTGTCTTCCAATAATTGACGATAAATGCGTATTATATATTGGCCTTAAAAAAATTAAGCAGAACCATTAAAATTCTTTATTAACGTAATAAATTTTTCCATTCATAATAATATTGGAAAAACTTACTGCATTTAAGCCAACTGTGCATTTTTTATATGTATATACGCGTTCAAAGGCGAGTAAAATATTAATGTTCATTTGAATACAAAATATAATATCAAAATATATTTTGCAGTCTTATAGGTAAGTACTAAATGCGTTATGATTTTTAGCGTTTTGAATGCTGGATTTTTAATTAATTCAAATCGTATATTGCAGCATGGACATGTCCACCAAAATAATTGATGTGAATTTATGTTTGAACAGTATAAGTAAATAGACCATCCTGGACAGTTTATCTACGTAGTCTGTATTTTAAGGCACGCGACGCGACAGAGATAAATATAAAATATTGGTTGACAGACCGAGACAAAAAAAAACAGCATTCAGTATTGCCGGTTTTTACGTGTGTAAGAAAATGTGCGTAGAAAAAATAAACTATTTTAAACACTTTCATGTATACTACTGAAATGAAGATAACGTATCTAACCTAAATATAATTTATTACAGCTGTAGTAAAATGAGTAACTAGTTGTGAAAAATAAAGTGATTGAACATTGAACCCTAGATACAACATTTTTCGTAAACGTCTACTTGTGCGGTTTGAAATTTTGATGCAAAATCCGGCAATACCGCATAGATGAAATGTATCAACTTTTGTCTCTTTTTAATGTATTTGATTTTTCATGGAGCTGTACATCACTGTCTTACACGTTAAACTACAGACTACGCTTTTATGATGGCCCGATTAAGATTTATGTTATACTTTTCTGACTTTCCGAGAATTTTTAAAATAAAATAACACAAATAAAATTTATACCAATGATTTAAAATGTCTATCTAAAATTATAGGTTTCTTAAATAAAGGCTAATTTAAAAATATAGTGGACATATGCCCATTATTTAACCAAAAACCAGCATATATTTCTAAAAAATATACAACCGGAAATTTAGGTACTTGATTGTGAAATGACGTACAAGAGCACAGCTTCAATGGACGAACGGCATTAAAAGGCAAATAAGTGACACATTTGAAAAAATGTTTCTGATTACTAATTAAGCATCTTTGTTAACCTAACTTCTAAAAAGCCAGTCATACACAGTAAAATATCTTCTATAAATTGTTGATAGAAATATATTTCATAATTACTATAAGATACTATTGTTGCATGCGTGTTTGTAATTATTGATATAATTATATACGGTTTATTATGGGTTAAACATACAGATAATAAAATTAAACTGTTACTAAACGAAAATAAATCACAACTTTCGATGTTTGGTTTTTAATCGATGGAGCCGGAATTCTTTTATTTCATTTTTTGATGACATATTTTGTTTATCAACTAATAGAGAACAACGGCCTACGGTCGAGTTGGCCGCTGCTGGCACGTATACGTAGACGTAAAGAATCTTTTATGTGTATAAAAAAAATATAAGAAATGCGCATGCGTACGTAAACGTTTACGTGTTTGTAGTTGTGCCGTTGTTCTCTATTATCAGCTCATCCAGTTCACTTATTTATGTATGACTTAATTAGAAAATATCAGGGGTGCTATTTCTTTAAAGTTCACAATGATGAAAATTTAAATCATCAAAGATAAAGGTCAAAAACATCGCTTCTTTATTATACCCGGGTATTCCCCTTGTTCTAGGTGCCCCGCTTAAAAAATGAAAACTGTATATACAGGGTGGTCCGAATTGTATTCGGGAAACTTCGGCAGCATATTCCGCAGATAAAGTCACTAAAAAAGTTTGTATAAGTGTATGTCCTAAAATGTTTCGTTTCGTAGATAGGGTGTAGATTCATTTTTATTTCGATGATTTTTGAACTAAAGTCTATAATTGGATGAAAATGGGCGTCTGGGTGTTTTCGATATCAGTATGACTCCAACTTGTAGCGGCGCCACCTACATATTTTTTCGCTGTTTTAAAGGGTAATAACTTTTCGTCCGTACCTGTATTACACTACTGATAAAAATTATACATGTTGACTGGATAGTTATTAGTCTGAAATAATAAATTTGAAATGTTTTTGTGCAAAGATTCAATAGAAACTGTTTTATCGTATTTCGTTTTAGAAAAAATCATGATTAGCTTAAAAAATTAAAAAGTTCCCAAATTTATCATTTCAGTCAATTATTTGGAAAAAAACGAAATAAAAATGAAACTTTTAGACCCTGTATCTTCGAATTTTTTTATTAGATCCTGTATCTTCGAAGCATTTTTGGACATAAACTTATACGAATTGTTTTACTTATTTTTATCTGTAGAATATGCTGCCGAAGTTTCCCGAATACAATTCGAACAACCCTGTACGGTACGTATAATGCATGAAAAATGACGATTATTGGTACCTAATATTCAGGCGATTTCAGAAATGAATATATGACGCTAATAAATTCATTCAATAACCCAAATCATAAACACTGAAAAAAAAAACAACGTTGCGTCGTCTTAACAAAAGGCCAAATAGCTGTCAACAGTAAAAATTTGATACGCCATCCATAAAAGACGTTCGACATTGTATAAATTGAATGAAGTTTTTCCAGACGTAGTTTAAAATTATCGCATCAAAATTCTTTGAAAACTATATGTAAAAAAATTCTGATATAAAAAATAATAAACTTGTTTGCGAATGAATATTCTCCTGTATACGAATATCTAACGGTTCTTAGGTTGTACGTTGTTAGGTAATCAGAACAAATCCTACTAATTATTATTAGTTGCAAGTAATATTAAACCAGTTTTCAACTCTACAATAATATTTTCAAACTATCAACTCTTCTATTTTTATCAACTTCTCAAAAAAAAACAAAGTAAATTTGCAAAATTACTAGTTTCCGATTGAAATAAGCATCAATGAAATCGAAAAATCTACACTACATGTTTATTATTTATGTATGACCTTATGGGGCTAAATTTTGAGACAATAGCACCTAATTAATTCTATACTTTAGTCTTATATCTAGTGCGACTTTAACATACACTATGATTATAAAAAATAATTTAAAACAATCTTATCTAACAGTTTGTTATAATCATACGATTTCTTTGAATTAACAATATTACTGTTTTAAATGGTATAAACAATATATTATATCATTAAATATAGTGGAATATTAGATAAAGCATTACATATTATATGTGATTTAATCTGGGGAAAACATCGATTTAATTTTACAGTACACACAAATCAATTGGTTTATATTGCTCTTTTCAATTATTATCATTTTTATTATAGATTTTAGTAATCACGGCTCTCGTTAGTGATTTGGATTATATGTTTGCATATCATTTTTTTTTGAAAATATGCCTAACACAAAATAAGTACAATAAAATCGCATTTCTAGAGGGTTATTTCAATATAACATTTTTTCCATTATTTTATTGTTTTTTAAGTATTTTTACTCAAAATTGTTAAAATATTTGAGAGCTATCTGAGAGCCTGGTATTTTTTAAACATCTAAATTTAGAATTTTCTTATTGTTGTACTTACATTTGAGTGTACCCTGTACAATAAATACAACTCAATACGAACGACAGCTATTTAAACATAAATACAGCTTGGATTAATAAACATTTTCAAATCCAAATTAAAATAAGGTTATATGAAAAAGTTGCCCTGTAATCGAATAATGCGGCTACAACGTACCGGGCTGATTTGTTGTATTTTTTCCCGCCTGGACGTTACGTCGCACATCTTCTAGTTGAATTAGCTAAAAAAAAACGAAAATACCCGATAATAAAATTAAAGCACCTCAATATGATATATCAACGAATGTTTGTATTTTTTCCGTTTAGTTGATATGTTATAGTCTTTTTTTTAAATGCCTGATAGCACAGGGAGAAGAGCTGGTGCCATAAAACATCATAAACTATAGCTACAACTTTTACAAATTCCATCAGCCGACTTGTTAATTTAATAAAATAAATTATTTTGCCCGTGAACGATCCCACAAAAGATTGCAGCAAACAATTTGTTCGCTTTTTATTACGTTTATTTCGTACTTTTTATTACCTTTATTTACGCGCACTCGGTATTTATTGCGGTGTAGATTTGCAAACATGGAGATATTTATTCCCAGCAAGATAAATCGTATTCTTGATTTAAGAGCGAAAACTATACTTTTAAACGTTAATTATTTCGTTCATCTTTTGGCATGTCACACTGTACACAAGAAAACGCCTTTTGCATTTCTAATGATGCTCTTGTGCTATCAGGCCTTTAGAAATACCTGTATATTAAATACGATATGTAACAATGACAATCAAGTGTCTATATAAATTAATCAATTCTATTTTAAAGCTTAATTTTAATCATCTGCCGATAAACCGTGCTCCTAATATTTTACGCATTTTGCCGTATTGTAGTTGATAAGTTATAATAACACATTTAAAATATACGAAATATAAACATACCTTCTCAATTGGTATACAGGATAACTCGCCTCCACCACACTGGGGTGGCGGTAGTGGTGTGGAAGGGGTAACTGGCCCTTTGGCTGTTTTCTCTTGTGCTTCCCTAGCTCTTCTTTCTTTCAGTTTCAGCGAGAATATTGCAACCGATCGAGCCCGTTTCATCAGGCTTTGCTTAACTCGGGTCTTCTTAGCAGCTAATTCTTCAGCTGCTGTAGGAAAAAATAATCTTGAATTTTTGAAGTCTGTCTAACGAGGCAGGAAAAAAATTGACAGATAACAACTGTCACTGTCAAAATCTTGTGAAAAGTGGCATTAAAAAAATTAAAAAGCTGTTTGAACTGTGAACTGCAAAAATCATTGTGGCATAACGTCGGTTTCCAATGTTTCATAGGTATTTCTTGTCCTTATATAAAATAAAGTTTCTTATATGCAACACACTGTATTTTATTTATGAAATTAAAAAGAAAATAATAATAAATTTGAATAAATAATATTTGGCGACATAATTCCAGAAAAAGCCAAATCGCTCCGAAATTATGAAAAGCTTTGGATCGCGACTTATGAAAAGCTTTGGATCGCGACCGTTGTAAAAATAGCGCCAATAGTATATATGTTACGGTTAAAGTCCGATGTCCGGTTAATATCGACATTAACCGGGTAATGTTTCGGTTTGGATAAAGGTTTGGTTAGGTTTTTGGTTGTTTTGTTGTGTGTTATTCTCGAAATTAACCGGGTAATGTCGATATTAACCGAATATAGGACCTTAACCGTAACATATACATTGTCCTTATGAGCACTTTCCGATCTAAACTAGTTTCCTTTATCTATGGTTGACAGACTATACTTATTTTAGCATTAATGACTAATTTAGCATTTTTTTTAGTTAAACTTATTATAAAAAGACGAAATTATTACAGATATATATTTATGATACCTCGTATGATACAACTGAACTCTTAAAATTTCTCTAGCTTATTACTTAATAAAGAATAAATATATCATAGGGTCTAAATCTTAGATTAAATATACTAAAAGCTACGACAACAACATTGAAAGTTATGTCTGCATAATAAACACAACTTTTTCGGACAAAAACTGATTTATTTCCGTTAGTAAACATTGATTTTTTCCTCAGAGAATGATCAATACGGGTACACCAATAAACAAACAGCGGTTTCTCATGTATAATTTGAGGACTTTTTAAACCAGGTATGTTGTACCTTTTCCATATTTAACCTAACAGTCTAAGAGCAAGCAACGTTTTCGAAGAAGTATTTTAAGAAAGCTGGCTCTTTGATAAATCTTTTACTATGCTCTCTGGAACAGCATGCGGTCCATCTGGCTGCCGATACCCGTTGCGTTCACTACTGCGCATCGGAAGAAGATCCTGTATTTTTTTTACTTAGTCCTATAAATTCTAGTATTGAATATAAATCGAACAAGTCTCCATAGCGCAGCGCGTAGAGTTTCGGACTACGAACCGAGGATTCAGAGTTCGAGACCGGGTCAGGGCAGAAACTTTTTTATTTTATTTTCGTTTATATTCTGATACTGGCAGGACCCGGTCTCGAACTCTGACCCCTCCCTTGATAGACGGATACACTCAATACTAGAATTTAAAGGACTAATAAAAATATAGGATCTTTTTTCAATGCGAAGTAGGGAACGCAACGTTTACCGTCCGCATGCTGTTCCAGAGAACATAGTAAACGATATATTAAAGAGCCAGCTTTCTTAAAATACTTGTTTTCCCGACGTTGCTAGCTCTCGTACTATAAAAATATAGGTTTGTTCCCACAAGCATCCAAACCGGTCAGAAACTTGTCAAATGTAGTTGATCACACCAAGTCATAAATATATCGTAAACGAAAAACATAGATTACTAATTCGGTTAACTATTTTGGACAGGTTTCTAATGCTCTGGGAACGAACCTTATATCGATTTATATCAAGTTATTTTACCTTTAGCGGTCTCATCAGCTTCTTGACTAGAAATGCTTCTTGCGCTATCACTTAAAGAAGGATCTATAGGGATAATTGGAGGGCGTATTCTCGGTCCTGTATTTTCTGGAGGAGATCTCGGTCTAGGAGGCCACATAGGGGTCGCTTTGTGTAGCTCGGTATCCGAGCTTGATGCGTCCTAACGAGAACAAAGCGTTCAGTGAATTTCGTACTTATTACTTTCGTCATATTTATGTTTTAGTTTATCACAGTATTGATGTACTAGGTAATTTGTAGTATTTTATAACACAAAAATAAGCAAGAATTAACAGAAAATAGTATATTACATACCGAATAGTAAAGCGTCAATATTACTATCGGCCATTATAGTCTGTCCAACGAGAAAATACCTGACAGTTGTATCAGTCATCGTAATTCACAAGTAAATTGTATTTTGTATCATTTTTTGTGTCTTCTGTCGAAATTTTCTCTGGTTCGTTGGACAGACTAAATCTGGAGACTGTAATAAAAATTTGCCTCCGAGGTTTGTGTACTGATTCATTTACAACCACGTTATAAATAAAAAATAGGTACAACATTTTATTTTGAAAATGGCAAAATGCAAAACTCAAAACCAGTAGAACAAAAAATTACTTTTGTTATTTTTAAACTTCGTCTGTCGCTCTAATTTGTGCAACAAGGAAAGCTAAAATGTCAGAAAAAGTTAATAACGAAGACTATTTTTACATTGGTACACCACCAAAACAACCTGCACAAAGACGGAAGAGACAGAAAGAAACAAGGGACATGAGAGAAGTCAAGTGACTGATGGAGGAGGGAAGTAAAGGTAAATAGTGTAACACTTAATGTTAGTAATGATAATATTACGTGGTGGTCGTAAATACATAATATTTACACGTATAAGAGTGTAGTGTTGTACCGGGTGTCCCACTAAGAATAGCTCTCGGCTGTATCTCGGAGAGTATTAGTCGTAGAGCTTGCGGAAAAAAAATATAACTAATGAGACCAAGAGCAATTGGTGGAAATTATTTTCAAGTTTGTAGGACGGCCGCTAGAGGGCGTAACTACTATTGAAAATAACAAAATGGAATTTTTAGGAAATTTTGCCTAGATACGATGAAATATAAATAATAGCTTCATAATCTTCTGTAAATTTTGGATCTTTTTTGTTAGAACTATTTTCCCCTATCTGCTAAAATAAAGTGGTGGGGGGAGTTTAGATCTGTTTTTAATTAAATATTAATAACTCCGGATTGAATGATCGGAATCCAACAAGCGAGGGCTCGTTTAAAAGAGCGTTTCTTACTCAACATTGTACCATATAAACAATAATAAAAAGCTTTTGAACGTAGACGCTAGGGGGCGTTGTCTTACAATTTAACAAACATTGCGCGTTTTTTCAAAAAAAATAAATGCGATAGTATATATAATTTTAGCTGATAGTAAAGAGTAATAAAAGCTTAACAAGTCAGCGAAAACCGCATCTTCATATCTTTTTTCAAACCAAAGTTATTAGCAAAATTCGCGGTATCACTAGCCCTCTTGATTATGACAATTCTATTAAAAAATAATATAAAAAAGATTATTTTATTCAAAATATCGACAATGATCCAGAAAACCATAATTACTAGGTGTATTAATATCTAATAATTAAGATACCAATGACAGTGGACAAGAAACGACACCTCAGTGAATTCATTGTAGGCTTTGGAAAAAAGTTGCTTTTAAACGGATAGTTTAAACATCAAAATATTATTATATCATATCAACAGCCTTTTTTTTATCTTTTGATTGTTTTTCTAAAAATGCCTTTCTTCAACAGAGAAAAAACGCTGCTAAGACTATCAAAATGTTGATCTAATAACACTTTGACGTTTATACTATTACGTCAAAAAAAACTTTTTTCCAATGCCTACCATGACTTCACCGAGGCGTCGTTTTTTATTAACTGTCATTGATATCTTAATTATTAGATATTAATAGATCTGGTGTTATGGTATTATGGTATATTGTCGATTTTAGAATAATCTAATCATTTCTATCTTATTTTTTGGCAGAATGTTCATAATCAAGAGGGCTAGTAATACCGTGTTAGAAAAATAAGGTAATTAAGGTCTTATATTTTCGTATTTATTATAATTTTGCTAATAACTTTGGTTTGAAAAAAGATATCAAGATGCGGTTTTCGCTGACTTGTTAAGCTTTTATTACCCTTTATTATCAGCTAAAATTACATATACTATCGCATTCAATATTTTTGAAAAAACGAGCAATGTTTGTTAAATTGTTAGACAACGCCCCCTAGCGTCTACGTTCAAAAGCTTATTATTATTGTTTATATGGTATAATATAGAGTAAGAAACGCTCTTTTAAACGAGCCCTCGCTTGTTGGATTCCGATCATTCAGTCCGGAGTTATTAATATTTAATTAAAAACAGATCCAACCACCCCCCACCGCTTTATTTTGGTAGATAGGGGAAAATGCTTCTAACAAAAAATATTCAAAATTTACTGAAGATTACGAAGCTATTACTTATAGTACACCTTATCTAGGCAAAATTGTGCAGAAACTCCATTTTCTTATTTTTTGTTGGAGTTGCGCCCCCTAGCGGTTGTTCTACAAACTTGAAAATAATTTCCAGCAATTTCTCATAGCCTCTTTAATTATAAATATTTTTTTCCGCAGGCCCTACGGCTAATACTTTCCGAGATACAGCCGAGCTATTCTTAGTGGGACACCCTGTACAGTAGCAGGTAATATATTAGTTTTACATATAAAGAGGGCTTTTTTTCGCGAAATTTTTTTTGGAAAATTTGGAATTTAAAAAAAAATTGGATTTTTTTTAGTTTTTAGTTAAAAAACTAATTCTTGATAATATGGCAACGTAGGTAGTGGATTAAATTTGCAAAAAAGAAAACCGGGAAAAGATCTAGTAGTTCTCAAGATTTAAGCAACAAATCAAAGTAAAACAACTCGGTTATTTTGGACGTATTTGAAAAACGGTAAAGAGAAAATATGTTTCTTTTATCGAGATCTATCAGCCCTGAAAATATTTGCACTTATTTAAGACTCATCCTGTATATGTAAAAGTAAATAAATATTAAGCAAGTTTTTGATTTAATGTTGTGGTAGGTAAATATAGATGGCGAGAGAATTATGAATTTGACAGACGGAATCCAAAAAAGACGGTGAAAATAATCAAATTTACAAATGCCATTAGTATTACACACTATTTCGTCAGAGGAACTATACACACTCCTGCTGGCAAGGCTTATGTTTGGGTCGAGATTTCCGTATGTAAGAAGAGTACAATGCATTTATAATGTACTGAACAAGACAAAACAGTAAAAATGTTGCCAAACGTATGCAATAAACAGAGAAACTGTGCACATTGCTAAGAGACGTGGAAGGGGATAGGCAGTTTCGTCCCGGTCGACTGCATAAATTTTATAAATTGAAATCTAGTACTTAGAATTCTAGGGAAGGGTATACATCATGCGTTCAGCTTCACGGGTTAATTATGTCTCGTTATACTTTATTTGTTTAGTTATTAAAGAATCGTTGTTGTACTTTCCTTATAGCTTGTAATTTTTTAAATACAAGTTGTAAATTAAGAGTTGGTTCTCAAATATTTACCACTCGGTTTATCACTTTTGGTACAAATATGTTGAACTGAGATAGTGCTAGACAGTGCTCGCGCTATTAGAATTCAAAAATCAATATCTCGAAATTCATAGAAATTATTGATTGTAGTTTTTTTAAATAACTTTCTTAACGTTTCTGCTATATTTTCTTCGCAGACAGTATGTGAAAATCTTTACAAATAAAAAAGTTACACGATTGCTGAAAACTGCTATGCCCTAAAGGTAAATGGCCCCTTTTTTAAATTTTTTTGAACGAAAAAAAAACAAACCTGTCAATTTTTTCTCATTTAAACATCTTGTCAAAGATCCGAACTTCAAAATAAAAAAAGAAAGTTTCAATATTCAAAGTAGTTTTTGAGTTATCGCGTGTTATATGTTAAGAAGTTCAGTTTTCAAATTACCATAATTACTGACGTTTTTCTTACCCAAACGATATTCTATAACTCGATTTCAGATGTCCAGAAACATATGTATTTAATGATTTTATGTAGTTATCTTTCCGAAAAAAATAAATAAAAATAAGTGTCTTTCGACCGTGATTTTACTACACTAGACAGGGAAAGGCGTACTTGTATCACTGAGAAATGTGGCAACGCTGCAACAGCAGATCGTAGCATTTTTCTTATTTAATAAGATCCCTAACCGATTCACTTCCACACATATAAATGCCGACCCAAAAGTAAGAGTTGCCAGCACGGTATAAGTTTCATCAAACAGACGCATTTTAGGGAACAAATCTTTGTATTGTTTGTGTTTGAAGTACCTATTACTATTAATACTATTAACATGCAAATGAATAAAAAGTGGTGCTTATAATATGTAAATTAGCGAAGACATTGTAGTAAACACAGAACTTATAGAACATAGTGACACATATGAATGGTTAGGTACAAATTGTCACTACCTTATTAGCGCTGTCCATTATTCTGGGTTTATTCTGTTTCGCAAGCGGAAATAAAAATAAATAAATCTACTATTAATAACCAAAAATAAATTTTCGTGTAAACTAATATTTTGTTACTAGTATGTGTTTGAATTTAAAGCTTGAAATATGTATAAGAAAACTTTATTTCCCATTTAATAATATTTGTACTACACCATCACTTGAAGAACATATCATTAATTACAACTGGTTTGTAATATAAAAAGTTGCAGAACGATGAACTTTTTACAAATTAAATTAAAAAGAATCTTATTCAAACTTTTTTATTTCCAAACACATATATAAAGAATGGCCTAAAGAAATTTATTAAGCAAACCCTGCCCAACGAGAGAATATGTGACAACAGTGTCAATTAGCTGTCATTTTAATTCAGAGCTAAATTTATTTTCTGTAATTTTTTGGATGTCATTTGTTGAAATCTTTCCTGACTCGTTGGGCAGTCTTTTTGTTTTTCTTCAAAAATCTATACTGCACATTTACAGTATGTTTCATTAATAAAAATACTATAATTAATAGAATCATATACAAAGATGTTTAAGTACTTATCTTAAATAAATATAGAGTATTCCACAAATTGTAAAAATATTAATAATGAAAATATCAATGTTTTAGAACAATCGACTAAAAACTAAAAAAAAAATTGTTAAGTTTCTTGTTGTTAAGAACTTCTTTAAAATATAGTATACAATTCGAAACACTTTGTGTCTAGTGTAATGAAAGATGTGATTTACATTTTTACAAAAGTTGGTGCGTACCTTAGGTGAAATGCAATCAGTACTTCGATGTATTTCATTATCTTCTTTCAATCTTCTTGCCCATTCAATACCTCCGCTGGGTCCAATGGTTAAATGATGAGTAGATTCTCCCTAAAGAGGCTTATTATAATTTTTATATACAATATCTATATATAATCGATAATAGTTATCAAATCAATTAAAACACGTAAATATATAAAAATCCGTTAATTCAAAGAATGTTTCCCATCTGGCATCACGCTCTTTTCAAGGGCGTTCGAGCATAGAACGAAATAGTAATAAAGTAAAGGTGAACGCGCACTTAATCGGCACAGACCGACTAGAAAAGGCGACGGCGGTGACTCGACTATCGTAGATATTGAGGTAGCAGTCCGGCGTCTACAGGCCGAACTTTTTTGTGGACGCTGTCTATATCTAAGATGGTCCCAGGTCGCCTGGGCTGGCCTGTCCGGAAAAAAACTTTAAGCTTGTCACAGTAATTGACAGTGACAGTACTTTGTTTTGTTTGAGACTAAATCCTAACAAAAATGGCCGCCCTGACGTCACACTTCCGTGGTCCATTCAGTGTAGGGGTGGGCGCGTGATGTGATTTTGATCTTGTCACGACGTGACACGATGTGCGTGATGTAATATTTAGGTTGAAATCACGATTTTCGTGCGTGAGCGTGCGTGATAAGGTTGGCGTTATTTGGTCACCAAATATTGTTTTTAAACAAAAACTTGGATGAGTTTAATGCTTAAGCTTACTTTAGTTTTGTAAAATACTTATTAGGTTAGAATTAAATGTTCATTTCATTTTTTATTTAATTTACTCTCTCTGGAATCACTGAGTTCTGAGTCGAAGTGCGTCAATCCGCGAATATGTGTATGACTGTAGAACCTTTAAAACTCGTGAGCGTGTGACACGGTTATATAGATATCTTTACGTACGTGAGCGTGAGTGAGCGTGCCTGTGCGTGACTAGGTTTGATAGATATCTTTACGTACGTGAGTGTGCATGATAAAATGTTCGTTTACCGTGAGCGTGAGTGAACGTGAGTCAAAAATTACTCACGCGCCCATATCTAATTCAGTGTGCGGGGTTACATTTATTTCTATGTGAAGTGAAAATCGTCGACAACTCTTAGTCAAGTCGACCGGCCGGCACCAATTCAGTCCGCGTTGTTTTTAAATGTAAAGACATCCGCGAAGCCAGAATTGTTTCTAAACTTATCTTTGTATATAAAAGGTAGATCGTCATGTTAGTTGTTTTTTTTTGGAAGATATTTAAGTATTTAAATGTTGTTTTACTAGTCCAATAATTTAATTTGTGTATTTATCGTCTATTTAAAAATCTCCTTTTATTAGAAGTTTTGATCTGATATCTTACCTCTGCCGGTATCCATTCTTTTGACTTCCTTGGCCTAAATGGCGGTATTTGTTGTATACTATCGGGAGTAATGCCTAACGGTGTCCTATGACTGGAAGTTATGGAACTCTGGGAAGTACTGGGAGTTGTTGGCGACGGAACCGGTGTCACATTGGAAGAAATTGTCTTATTGAATTCGGGAGTTTCTGCTTTCGGTTTACTGATTAATTCTTGTGATTTCTTGACGTTACTGCCATGAGATAAACTATGGCTTGGAGAAACCGAAAACCTAATCGTTTTACAAACAAGTTGACAACTATAAATCTTTATTTGTTACTGCATAAATAAGTTACTGTCACCCTACATATACAGTATGTAATTAAATTCCTTTGAAAATTAAGAATTGATGTGTACAAGAATAAATAAGTAGAGAGCCTTTGAGAAGATTTATTTGACATATAATATTTATTTTGCCTAGTGAGCTTTACGCCCTGGGCTACTCGAGAACGGTTCTGAAAGGAGCTGTGCGCGATAGCCTGGTACCTCAATATGGCGCGGAACAGTTCTGAACTTTATGACTCAGTTGAATGGAGTGACAGTATCGCGTGAACAGTTCAGAGCTGCACAACTGCGCGAATGGAGGACAGTAAATGATAACAACTGATTATTTATCAAAGCATGCTGGATACTAACCCTTGACAGTTATTTTTCAAACTGTCAACGGCAACGTTATTTTAATATTTAATGTCTGTCCAACGAGAGGATATATGATAATATATGGGATTGTTGTCTGAAATCTTTATTCACAGGTAAATTGTATTTTGTTATTTTCTGAATGTCGTCTATCTAAGTATTTCCTCACTTGTTAGACAAACTTTTATCTATTAATTTTACCTGCCAATAGTCTTTGCTTGTATTTCTTCTGGAGAAGGTGTAGCTGTGTTAGTAACTCTGCTAGCGTCTCTTCTGGCCCACTCAATTTTAGCCATTTCGGTAGCCAACCAACCCGGAATATCAGGAATAGCGCATGTTATAATAAATCTTATGACCAGCATTATATGCTTAAAATATGACGGAATATTAATGTATTATTTATATTTTTAATTGCTATTCATACCTCTAGTGCTACAATTAACAAAATAGTTTGTGTGGCAGTCATATCTGGGAACATACGATGTACTTGTCCAGATAGACCAATTAATGCACAGTTTACTAATACTGCCATAATACTCATATACTCCATACAGTTCTAAAAAAGTTTTAATACAATATAATATATAAAATATGTTTTAAATTATTTTTTCTGTTTAATAAAATACCGGGTGCGTCTTAAAAGTGACTCACCCCCTATAACTTTTTTATTTTTTCAGATAAAGCAACGGAATTTGGTATGTTAGTATATGACATAAATCAGGATTGACGGACTTCCGGTTTCACCGGAAATGACTACAACTTTTGATTTTAAAATGACACCCTAGGTATTTTTTTACTTTATTCGATAGAAAATGATACTCTGAATAGAATGATATATCATATGTCAACTTTTGACATTTTCGCATATGGTTTATTTGAAATTGTAAAATGCGGTTCATAATGACAATTTGACTCCAAATACCAAGTCTGTGGTATCAAATTATTCGTAAAAAAAATGTTTTTCCAAATATGCTAATGAGCCAATCTCGTTTCGTTTGAAAAAATTGAGATATGATTAAAAATACGATTTGGGCATCTTTTAACTGGTCAGAAAAAGACACTAAAAACATTAGACACTCAAATCTAATAAATAACATAGCCATGGCACTCTAGATTGAAATTTAAAATACAATTTGTTTTTGAGCGAATATGTCAAAAGTTGACAAATGATATCATTCGATTCAGAGTGTCATTTTCTATCGAATAAAGTAAAAAACAAATGAATACCTACGTCAATCAATCTTAATTTATGTTATATACTAACATACCAAATCTGGTTTTTTTTATCTGAAAAAAATAAAAAAGTTATAGGGGTGATCCACTTTTGAGACGCACCCCGTATATAATTAATTCCTTACTTGCCAAGTACCAATATTAGGTACTCTTTGTCCAAAAGGTCTTTGACATACATAAGCCAGTTTAAAAGCATCGCTGCGAATTTCAACGAGATTGTTGAACATGGCACACAAAGCAGCGGGTGGGAACGCAGAAGAAAATAATATTACGTAACCCAACTGAATTGTCATCTCTAGATAATCTGCAAAAGTCCCATCATACTAAAAAGAAAACAAAAAGAATGATAAGGTCAACAAATAAATATGTTTTATACATTTCTCTACCATTTAAATCCTAGCAGTGGTTTTGATATGTTTATATTTCAGAAAACAATTATAATTCATTTAAAAAAATTTTCTGGCTGTTTAGTTAATATCTCTTACTTCTAAATTTCGTACTTAATTTCTACAATTCTAAAACTCGAATTCAGTAGTAACTATAATACAGTAGGGCAGAAAATGAAAAACAAAAATTTGAATATCGTTTCAAAGAAACAGCTAAAAATATAGGAAAAGAGAATAAAATGCAAAATCGTTGTAAAATCGTTTTTATGTAGGGTGATTGACGGTCGATAGTAAGTTAGTCGATTGTGGATAACCAGTGATTTTCTTTTGAAAATTTGAATTTTTTCATAAACGCAATCAATCTAAATTATAAAAAATGTCTATACCTGTGTATACAGGGTGGTCCAAACTGTATTCCGGAAACTTCGGCCAGTATATTCTGCAGATAAAATAAATAAAAAAGTTCGTATAAATGTATGTCCTAAAATGGTTAGTTTTAGAGATACAAGGTGTAGAAATTTCATTTTTATTTCGATTTTTTCTAAATAATGTCTGAAGTAACGTCAATATTTGGATGAAAATTGTTGGCTGGGAGTTTTTTGACATGAGAAATTTGATTTTGATGTCAATATCACTCCTACTAGGAGGGCGCCACCTACATGTGTTTTAAGTGTTTTGAAGCGTAATAACTTTTTGGCCGTACCTGTATAAAACTACCAAGCAAAAAAGTATACATCTCTGTGACTTTTTACGTAAAAAATGGGCGCGTTCAGGGACGGTCAGCGGCTGAGTGGCTGAGTAAACGGTTTCCCTAAACGGTCTCTTTTTACACGCAAAAACAGTCAGCCGCTGAGTAAAATACTCAGCGGTCGTTCAGCCGCTGTGTTCCCCGAACGCGCACAATATCTCTTTGTAAAAATCGCTACGAGCAACCGTTCTTAAGATATTTGGAATGAAAATAGTCAATACATGTCATTATTGATGAAAAATAAACATTTTTGATAAACGTCAAATGAAATTTTTATTTTTGTTAATTAATCATAAATTTTTCTGCAAAAAATGATGATAAAACAGTTTCTGTTGAACTTTTGGCATAAAAACATTTCAAATTTATGATTTTAGTCTAATAACTATTTAGTCAACATGTTTAATTTATGTCAATGATGACAGGTATTGATAATTTCGATTCCAAATATCTCAAAAACCATTACTCGTAGCGCTTTTTACCAAGAGACCTTTTTCACGTAAAAAATGTCGTAAATGTATATTTTTTAACTCAGCAGTTTTATACAGGTACGAACGAAAAATTATTACTCTTCAAACCAGTTAAAAAATATGTAGGTGGCGCCCTCTACTAGTATACTTGTATTCATTTAAAACTTCCCAATATGGCGGATTTCACGGTATGGGAGGCTTAAAAAACGAAAATCTCTAAACTGGAATCGACTGTACTTCAAATCGTTCAAATTGATAATCTGTGGTAAATCCAATTGAACTCTGACACTTGGCTGACATTGACGTTTACGGTTCCTTTTTCTAAATATTTTTATTATTTTTTGAGTTTTTATTCACAAATTCTACTTGATTTTGTTCTTTAATTTAACCTGCAACCTGCAGTACTAATTATATAGTTATAAATAATCTTTTCACCGATCAAGAATTGACGAATAGGCTGGAAGATATTCAAAATGTGTAAAACGCTTAAAAACGTATTAGAAAACATTTGACTCGTTCACAAATTCATGAAAATAAATGAGTCCAGATGTTTGTAAAAAGGTCTCTAATTATTTTGAGAAGTTTCCTCGTATCAGTAATTTTCAGGTTTGTAATATGTACTATATGATAATAAATAGATTAAAACTTATATTTCAGGAAACAGCGCGGGCATTACAGATTGTTGTAAATCAGTTTTAAAATATAAAGAAGGTTTAAAACAGGTTTAAAAGTTGAGTTAGTAGAGAAGACCTAAATAAGGTAATGTTGGTAATGGGACCAAACATCAAATAACACTTGAAATATATAATTATGTACAATAATTGTAAATAGTTTTTATGAATCTGTTTGATATCTGTTGCATTGTTTTTATATTTCTTGAAATATATATTTTTTTACTTTACAGGATACACAAAGAATAATAAAAAAATACAGTTACTCACTAAAAGCACTTAAGGTTTGTAATAGATGTAGTTAGAATATCAAACACCAAACCAAACCAAAAATTACGTTTTATTTTACTGGTATTCCTCACATTTGAAAGGAAAGTAATTTCATAAATAAGCAGGACATTGTATAGTACACTCTATATTAATAATTGTATTTTATCCTATACTTGTTAGTTAACGCATCACTTACTAGGTATAAAATTTAGTACTGATTAACCTATAGTTGTGGTTGTGATATATTCTGATGTGTTTCTGGCAATTTAAAATAAGTTTAAACAAACATTTCTGGCTTTCCTGACAGGAGTGTGGACACAAATTTAATAAAGGTATAATGTGGATAATGTTCTGATTATTACAGTTTGCATGGATGTTTTTGTATGTTGTTATTTTTAATAAAGTATATTTAATAAGTTTTTGAGTATTTATTTTTCTTCTAATTATATCTACAAAACTTATTACCTTATAATTTTTTGCTAAATACTTTGTAGTTGATACAGTTTAACAGTATATAAAAGAACTATTTAAATAAGATGTTTGAAAATAAATAGCTGTTTTTGCACACATCAATTCAATTTGTGATTAACTGTACTGAAATAAAAACAAATTAAGAGAAATGGGGTGATTTATCAACTATAACATGAAATGCATCATCCTATTTCTTAGTCTTCTATTAATTTCACTTATTAAACAACTATAATTATTCAATAATCTTGATAATTCTAGGAACTCTCAGATATCATCAAAACATGAAAACAAAAATTTAGTTCCTATAGTTCTTACGTACCTTTAACTGAAATATAAGAAACAGGGGAGTTAATATTCTCACTGAGAAAGTTTATAAAATACCTTTAAGTAAAATCTCTTCGGATCTGCGGTAAAATACCTTTATTCTTATTAAATAATTTCAATAATCTATGTTTTTATTTATGACAACCACCTAATAACCTAACTTTAACGTCAACTTGACAATCCTGAAAAATATTATTGTTAACCAAAGAGTAAATCAATTTCTGAATTCGCTAACGCCAACTTATTTTTCATTAAAAAAAATTACCAATTTTCATAACTAGGTCGGCCATATTGAGGAACTTTTAAAAGAATAGTACTATTAGGAGTCATATTGACATCAAAATTTCTCATATCAAAAAACTTCCAGACACCAATTTCCATCCAAATATTGACATTACTTCAAAAATTATGTGGAAAAAATTGAAATAAAAATGAAACTTCTTCATCCTGTATCTCCGAAACTAAGCATTTTAGGACATACATTTATACGAACTTTTTTACTTATTTTTATGTGCAGAATATGTTGCCGAAGTTTCCGGAATACAGTTCGGACCACCCTGTATATTTGGATATAGGATTTTTTTGGAGAAATCTTTCGTTTGAAAAGTAATGGTATCTTTGCTACTTTAAATATAATACCCAGTGTATACCACATTTTTACTCACAATTACGTCCATTTCTTATAATTTTTCTATTATATTTTCCTATATCTATCTCTAGTAGTTTTCTAGCTGTATAATATCGATAAGAACATGATTTTTAATAATGCTGAATTCATGATTTTACTCATACTTATTCAAGATCAGGTGGTTCTCAATTTTACACGGTTTATTTTTTATTTAAAAAACTATTAGAGATATACGAAAGTATAATAGAAAAATTAGAATAATTTCTAAAAATATAATAATACACCTGGTTAGGGAATGCAATCCCGCAAATGCTGGATCCCGCAAATGCGGGATCCCTCTGAGATTCCGCGGGATCAAAGTGGGATTTACCGTGCGGGATCGACACATTACTACTGGGTAACCGAATCGATCTCAATCAAGATCAAACCGCTTCGTTCGGGGTCGATGCAATGCGTCGACGCTCGGAACCCGGGGGATTCCCCTTACGGCTTGGCCATTAAAAATAAGTGAAACAAACAGGTTAGTTGTTAGATTTCTTTCTGGCGTATGTGAAGTGAAGAAAAGCGTTTAACTAGTACTTGTGGACAATTTCGTCAAATAAACCGGGGGACATAATTATCGGGACAAGCAAAATTTTAGGATAAATTTAAAGTTGAATATCTCTTGAACTAAAAAAGATTTTTGGATGCGGTTTGGACCAGGTTTTAGATGCATCTATTGTGATTAAAATGCTATGTGGTTTTCAAAAATATATTTAGTGAATTCTCGTATACAGGGTGTTTTATAAGAGTGTGAAAATTTGGTCAAGAATCTTTTTTACCGCAAATTTACAATTTTTAAAAAATCTAAATTTTTACCAACTACGAGTAATCTGTATTGAAATTAGAAAAAACAATTTGATTGGTCCTAAATGGTACAAAAAGCTTTGTACATTCTGTATATGCCAAAAAATTATTCATATAGAGTGTATCTAAAAGCAGATAACTAACACAAGTTAAAAAAAACTTCAACATCATCGGAATAATATTTTTATTTATAAAATAAGTAAATAAATTATAATAAAATTTAAGTTTATTTAATATTAAATATATTTTTTGAACACTCTGTATACACTGGTCTAAATTTCTGTACAGCTAGTTTAAGATACACGCTATATCAATATATTATGGGCCTATGGAAAAATGTACAATGCCTTTTGTACCATTTAGGACCAAATGTATGACTATTGTTTACAGTCCCGCAATTTTGCGGATCCGCGGGATTGATTGCTTTAATCCCGCCGGTTTGCGGGATTGAGATTTTGGTGCGGGATTGCATTACCTACACCTGGTGTTCTATCTAAATTAAAAAATATACTACTATTGTTCAAAGAAAAATCCCACGATTGGTTCGCCACAGTTTAACTAGCCATCGCCGTGAATTGGTAATTCGAACTGAGTAGTAGTTGAATTGTAGTGAGAAACTACAAGCTATTGTGCGCGACCTTCTATTATGGCATGCCTAATTTACAGCTGCAAACCTACGTTTTATTTAAACTTACCCCGGAATTGGGCTTTTTAATCAATAACAAAAAATCGTTAGATTATCAGTATTTAAAACAAAACGTATATAATACCTTGTATAATGAACTTTCTAACTCTGCCTGGCTCATACTTCTTTTCGCCGATGGTTCCCCTTGATCTCTGGTTTCTTCTTCCTGCATTCCTTTAGTTTTACAGACATCCTCGGATTTTTCTTCTATAAAGACAATAGCATTACCGTTGATTAAAGAAATAAAAAGAGGCGCAACCTTATGGGTGATTTCGTGGCACGAAACCTATCCGTAGCTGGCGATACCGTTGCCGCTAGTCAAACTGTCCGAGATTTAGTTTAGCTCTCTTCCACTGCGCACTAATAGTCGTTTATAGCGCAGCGGATAAAGAATACTGTACCGTAGTTCGACTTTCAGTCGACAGAGTGGCTGGTTGCCGAAGACAGTGTTGCCAGAACTACGGTTAAATCCGTAGATTTACAGATTTTGGGTACAGTACGTTAATTAGTGATGGGCAAAACTGTTATTTTTAGATAACAGTTGAAACTGTTATAGTTATTTATGAAAAACAGCTTAAAATAATAGCTTAACAATAACAGGTTTCTTTATTTTATTGCTAAATACCTGAAAAAGTATGAGGCGGTCACCGCCAGGCGTATTAACGCTGTTACAAGTTGCAACAATGACGTGCTCAGTGGTAGTATTTCCAGGGTGTCAAAACATTTTTAAATATCGATTGTTATCTAAAATACCTCTCTAAAAACGGTGGTTGTTTACAAATAAGCGCTGTTTACAAATTGCGATATAAAAAAAGCCAAAATTCCGCCACTCGTCTATACCTATACATTCCGATCTACCTACGCCCTGCCCCTCGATCCGCGTAGATCCTGAATTGCGTAGCAGTGTACAGGATGCATCTCACTTGACGGGCGAGAAGCTCTTATATAGTTAGGATTTTACCATTTGCGGTCAAAAAATAGCAATATAAGAAAATGTGTAGTATATTCTTCATAAGTAAACCAACTACACACTAGAGTTCGAATTAATTTTAAACTTAAACTAGCGTGTACCCGCCACTTCGTTCGCGTCGAATTAATAATTTGTAATGGTGATGATAAACCAAAGCAAGAATTTCCATTAAGATACAAACTGGATAAAATTTTCTCACATTTGCCAAAAATAAGCTTTAAACGTCGAGCAGTTTAAGCAGAATCGTGGTTAATCAATTACTCAACTTTTTGGAACACCCTGTATGATTTTATAAAAAATTTCAAAATATGTAAAAAAACAAAATAAATTATGCGTGTCCAAGCGTTTTCCCGAAAGACTAACCGTTTTTTAAATAACAAATATTGTAATATTTGAGGGGCGTTTTCACCCTCTTGGAATTTGAGATTCGAGAAACCCCTCCTTATCGAACCTCAACCCCACAGTCAATCCGTTTGCCAAAAATCAGCTTTAAACGTCAAGCGGTTTAAGCAGAATCGTGATTACTCAATAGTCATATTTTATGAAACACCCTGTATATATTTTTAAAAAATCTTAAGATATGTAAAACAACAAAATAAAATATACGTGTTTAAGAGTTTTTCCGAAAAACTCACCGGTTTTTAAATAAAAAATATTCTAATATTTGAGGGTGGTTTCACCCCCTTAGAATTCGAGTTTCGAAAAATCCTTTCATATTGAACCTCTACACCCTAAAGTCAATCCGCTTTCCAAAAATCAGCTTTTTACTCAAGGGCTTTAAGCGGGATCGTGATTAATCAATAACCAGATTTTTCAAAACATCCTGTATACATTTTAAAAAAAATTTAAAATATTATTCTGAAAATTTTTCAGAATAAATAAATACCTAAATATTGAAACTTAATAAGTAAGTACTGAAACATACAGCGCCATAATATGTCGACCTCCGCCCGTTATGCTCGTGTAACAGGTTGAAAAACATTGTATCTAAAACAACTGATGCGTTATTCTCCAACCTGTTTCGAACCTCCATCGACAATCGACCGATGCAACAGCGTTACTTTCCCACTCCGATTATCCCGACCGCCGCTCTGTTATGCTCGTAACAGGTTAAAAGCCAACGGATCTAAAATGACTGATTCTCCAACCCGTTGCGAGCCTCCATCGACAATCGACCGATACAGCAGCGTTCCTTTCCCACTCCTGTTATCTCGACCGCCAGGCGTTATGCCCCCAACTGTTTCAAAAAAGCTGCTTCTTTTATATCCTATTATTTTTAAGCTGTTGAAAGCCCCACACGACCATCGACCGATGCAGCTACGTTCGCCGCGCCGCGCCGTTCCCCATCAGTGGGCTGCAACATCATCTGGTGCAGAGCGTCGACTTCGTTTCACGAACGGTCGATCTCTGCGTATCGTTATTTTATATCTGTTATTTCTTAAAAGTAGTAACGGTTGTGTTATGTTATTTCTAAATAATTGTTATAAAATAGCAGATAGTTAAATAACAACCCATCACTAACGTTAATAATACGGATTTTCTCTATAATTAAAGAATTCAATATAATAACAAAGAACGGCGTCAGAGTGGGCTTGGAAATGAAGATCGTTGTTATTCCTTATGTAAAATATTATGGTAAATGTCAATAGTCATCATTTCCATGTTTATTCTATGTTTAACATGAATAAATTTTCAATACATAAACGGATTTTTCATCCAAAGATATTTTCGTCTAACGTATTACCCTTGTTTATATATTCTTCAAGTTGTTCAACCGACTAGACAAAATGTGCTGCCAACTGGAGGGCAAATCGTGAACCTTTCGGGGCGGAGTCAAAAATATCGATTATTTTCGTTATTTTCCTCAGAGTAATGTAATAATATAGCCCCGGGTTTCTGCGAACTTTAATAATGATCAGCTGATTAAGAAATTTAAACAAAACTTTTATTTTATTGTAAATTGTGGATTATTTTTGCCTGTTATTTTAAGAATTCTAAACCGTATTAACAAGGAAATTATTATTTCGATATGTTGGTACATTATTTATAATAATTTATGATAATGCTAATTGCTATTAATTAATATTTATAAAAAGTTACATACCTATTTTAATTTGATTTAATGCAGGTTTATTAAAGAATCATTTCATTCTTAGATTATTTTATTCTAAATTGAGTGCTGTACGAATTTTACGATATATTTTTTTTGAAAACATAAAACTTTTTACATTTTTGATGCCAACTAATTGGTATGGTATTATTGGTATGGGAATTAGCCAAGAAAGTAAAGTATTGGCTATAACTTGTAATTTTTCGAAAAAAACATATTATACCTATATCGCTGAAAAGCTTAAAAAATGGCACTTTTTATGAAGTCATGGCCAACTATGGTTTCCATTTAAAAAAAACATAATGTTTGTGTCATATGTCAAAAATGACAGGTTTTAGAAAAAAAAACAGAAAACACAAACTCATTAGGTATGTGATTATCTACAACTTTTATCTGAAAACTTTTTGTCTAAAATACCGTATGATCGAATAAAAACGGCTTCAGCGATGGCTATGAAATGACGATCGATGATATTTCCCATATAATTTTACATAGGTATAAAATGACAGCGATCTTCATTTCATAGCCATCATTGACGCCGTTTTTATTCGATCATACGGTAGATTATAATGGAATTAGAGACAATGTTTTAAAATAGCCAAAATTTTTTTTTTTTCGAAATATCTAGTAAGCCTTGAATTTCTCCGAAAAATCCGAAAGGCGCATATTTATAACCCCACAAAACTGCAATACAAGGGTATTACAGATATTACACATTTTAATATGGCCACACTGTCGCTTTCAGTTCTACACCGTCTTCGATATGTCTTCGCTAGCCGAATTAGAGAAAATGAATGTTTTATGCGTTGGCCAAGTAGAGGCTCCACCCTACAGCACTTGCCCGTCACCGTCACGCATTTGCCCATTAGGTTGCGTATCTTCCCAATTCTTTCATTCAATGGTATTACATACCGAATTGGAAACTGTTTCATTACTGAAAACTTTTCTTTGCAGTTTGTATACTATTTATTTACAACCACCCTATTAATTAAAAAATTGGTACAATATTTTATTTTGATATGGGCTAACCTTCAAAAGTAGTAAAATTTAAGTTTTTATTAAAACATAACACTTATTATTATTATTATTATTACTGACTGAGAGAAGACAAGTGAGTAAAATGGAAGAAGAAAATAAAGGCAGATAATGCTACACAATTGATGTGTGCATTTGCAAAATTTTAAAAAATCAGTAATGTCGACATTACATTATATGGTTGTAAATAAAATACACAACTGCTTGCTTAAAAAAATGAATTGAGTGAACTTACTTTCGCCTGGAAATGGTTTGGCGCCTAAAGGACTTAGAGCGCCCCACATGTCAAAGCTCATTTTTGCTAACCGCAAATGCTCTAACATGTAAGGTAATGCAGATTCCTTCAGGTTTCCAATCACTTGTCTGGATATCAGCAAAGCGGCAAGTTGCTGAAAAAAGTAATTATTTTTATCTGCAGTAATATTGGTCTCTCATGTATACAGGGTGTTTCAATAAACATGTACCATCTCTCGTGGGAGATTCCTCTCGTAAAAATAAGATTTATTTCTTAGCTCTGATTCTTATTTGTTTCGTAGCTACAGAGGGTTAAAGTCTTAATTTTTTTTTCGAATTAGTGTAATTTTGAGTCTTCCAAAAAAGTCTTGATATATGGATACTATTTAGTTTTAAATATTATCAGTATGAACTATATTTTTACCATTACTTGGTAAAAACTTAAATTATCTGTTATGGACCAACATGACCTGTGAAATTAACCCAAAACATGTATTTCTCTTAAAAAATTCAAATTAATAAAAAGAAAGATTATATATCTTTTTTAGGCAATTTATAACTTAAATTATTACTTTAAACGTTGATAATTTTAATCAATTGAAATTTAGTAACAGTAGTGTAACAGCAGAATTATTAAATCTAATCTATAGGTATATTGTAAAGGAACTAACTATACAGCTACAAAATCTAATTCTTGAAATATATTGGCACATTTTTTAATAATTTAGTAGGTATGTCTCCTTTCGATCTACTAGATTATAACTACCTCTAAATAAACACCACTATTTTATGATTTACAAAATTGAACTGAATATTATTTTTAAACAATATAAAGTCTTTGAAGTAAATCTTTGATTAATGTGATTGAATATTCAATCCCCAATATAAGTAAAGCATAAGATATTACACATATATTTACCTCCTTAAGCCTAGCCTGGTCTTGCAGGTAAAATGCAATGTAAAACAACGACAGAAAAGAATTGACGAATTGGAACTGAAATTAAGAAAAGCCAATTACTTTTTCGTCTCTAAATTTTGAGTGCACTAAACTGTTCATATTATTTTTACACATGCATTGTATAAACATTATACTACTACAGCACTAATACCACAGTACAGAGATAAGCACAGTAAATAAGTAAAATGGTAAAATCACAAATTATGCAATGTGTAAATAAGTGTGAAAAAATTCAGAAGATTGTTTTTTTTTATAAAATAATGTAAGTTTTTAATTTCTTTCCATTTATTACTTTACTACAAAGCTACTGGTTTATATAGGGCATAAAAAATCCCAATATTGTAATTCAGTCTCAATTTGCACAAACTCGTACGTCATACTCCAGAACCAGACAATGAGTGTGATGTCATATGTCATATTACTAGGTCGATTATTGTAGATTAAGATATTAACAAGCGCCTACTTCACATTTTTTTACGAATTTAATGCACCTTTTTAATGGGACTAAAAATTCTAATTTTTTCCTTGTTAAATGCTTTATGCTAAAAAATATCTTAGAAATAAAAAAAAATTGACTTTATAAAAAAGAAATTTAATTTTAAAATAACAGGTGAAGTAGATTTCGAACGCAATGTATACAGGGTGGTGAAAATTTCGATGCTCAACATTGGCATCTCAGAAACTACGAGAGATACGAAGTCGGTTAAATGGGACAAAAGTTGCGTAATTAGAAGTTTGACACACACCTATGAAGAAAACCCCGGTATCTTGATTAGTTTCGGATATATGTCAAAAAAATCAAAATAATACGTTTATTTTAAATGACAATATCTTCAAAACTATTGTATCTATTGCAACGTAATTTGGTAGTTTTATATTTTTGACCTCGGCCAGTTAAATGCCGTTTCAGAAAATTTCTAAGCCTTCGAGATTTCGCACAACTACAGCTAAGTTTTTGTTTTCTTATGGCCGCCATTTTGAATTTTTATACTATTAGATAGAGCGAAAAAAAGTCTATACTGTAGTGTCTAATTTTTATTCATTATTATGTAAATTCATTAAAAAAATTGATTTTTTAAAAATTCGCCTAAGATCAAGTCTGTGTTGGAAATCCAATTAACACTTTATATATCAGCAAGTTATTTTTTGTTTATTCTATTGTCAAATCTGGACGCACAAAAATTGTATAGTTATATTACAGTTCAATACAGGTCAATACAAGGAATTGTATTAAAATGACTGTCCAGATATCAGTATATCACCAAATCAGATTATTTGTGGCCTGGTTTCTCCAATTAAATGACGATTTTCTTTTGCATAATAATGTCATTTTTTTTTCTTTTAAATTTACCAGAATTTGTAAATAAAGATTCATCCGTCTAATATTTTTCTATAAAAAAGGGACTTTCTTGAACACTTTCCCGAAACCATTTGCAAAATTGTAATCTTCTCTTGTGGTCACCAGCACGTAAAAATTTGGTACACATTTAAATTTTGATATTTACTATGTCTTTTGATAATTTTCCCTACATAAGAATCGCTTATACAACACTCGCGACTTATTTTACGGCTAGAAGTTTCCGGACTTTTTAATTTCAGTCTGAACTGGCATATTAATATCATTAAGCCTTTTAGAATATTATACTATAAATTTTTGTGTCCAGGTTTGACACTTAATAGAGTAAACAAAAATTAACTTGCTGTCATATAAAGTGTCAATTGGAATTCCAAGGCAGACTTGATCTTCTGAGCAAATTTTTAAAAAATCAAATTTTTTAGTGAATTTACATAGTATTGAATAAAATTAGATACCACCGTATAGATTATTTTTTACTCTATCTAATAGTATAAAAATTCAAAATGGCGGCCATAAGAAAACAAAAAGTTAACTGTTGTTGTGCGAAATCTAGAAGGCTTAGAAATTTTCTGAAAACGGTATTTAATTGACCGAAGTCAAAAATATAAAATTACCAACTTACGTTGCAATAGATACAATAGTTCTGGAGATATTGTCATTTAAAATAAACGTATTATTTTCATTTTTTTAACATAAGTCCGATACTAATCAAGATACCGGGGTTTTCTTCATAGATGTTTGTCAAACTTCTAATTACGCAACTTTTGTCCCATTTAACCGAATTCGTATCACTTGTAGTTTCTGAGATGCCAATGTTGAGCATCGAAATTGTCACTACCCTATTACTATATTACTTATTCAAATAATTACACTATAATACCCAAAATTGTGTGATTTTAGGTAGTGTAAACAAAATTTTAGGTAGTGTAAAGAAAAATTCCACATTTTTAAAAGTCATTTACAACTTGCATATTTAATCAGGCTGTTCATTTTAACTCCTCAGGTGTCAACTATATTTACACTCATGTGTACACTAAACACCTTGTGTAAGCACCATAAATAAGTTATAAATAGACAATATTATTTACTATACGATTTTTTACTATTTGAAAAGCTTTGAGCTTTATACCATACAATAACAACTATTTTATCAAGGTATAGGCTTGGTGTATTCTCCGTTGGAGCTGCCACCATCGGATAATATCGTAAACAGACGACAAAATAAATAAGCGGGTTTAAATAGCGAGTACACGAAAAATATGTTATAATATTATTTGGAAAGTATTAGCAAGCGCAATTATTTGTGAAAATTCTGAAAAAAATTAAAATATAAATCTTCTGATATCTTCATAAGATATTAACCCGTGTTAATACCTACTTAATTATTATTTATTACTCAAGCTAATAACAGTGTTAGATTAGTAATAATACACCGGCATAGTTTTATGCAACGGTTTTGCTAGTTGAGACATATCTAGGGCTATCTAGACTGTAACATATTGATTAAATTATATTTTATTCTCATAGTATATGCCTATTTAATTTTTTAATTACGTAATGGGTACTTTGTTTATTCACTTGTTTCGTCGAACTGCCTGAATCCATTTTAGCTTTTGTAAAATGTGTGTAAAATGTAGCGCCGGGAGAGTTGTATTGTGTGTTGCTGCACCCAGCAACCGCGCAATTATGCTAATTTTATTATCGCTTGAAATTGTCACAAGATAACGCGTCGCCCAGTATGAGTTCTTTTTCACTCTATTTTTACTACTCGAAAAAGCGTTACAAGAACTTTGCACCTGAGAAGTTTATAGTTTCAAGAACTGATAAAATCTAAAATACAATTACGGAACTGCACTAGTAAAAACTAAAATACTTAAATATATGACAAAACCACAATTTTAATAGTTTCGTTCCTTGCCTTTTCATACCGTCACGAAACGGTTTTTGAACCCCTAGTATTGATTGCAATCCCAGGCGTTGACTTCGTACGATTCTATTTCGGTACGCAAACATCAGGTTGGAATGAAACGGTTTTAGAACCGTTTTATAACACGTCATTTGTCATTCCTCGTTTCAGGTAGAGAAGGAACAGAAGACTAGCAGGTCTAACATAAATCAGAGCCTAAATATGTTTTTTCACAACAACGTGTGAGCAACGTTGTTCATAAATTTATATAAAAAAATAGCAAATAATAGTTTATATTACCACAGATTATACTAGGTTAGATTCGATTCGAGCTTTGATGTTTAGACTAAAATTAAATTGCGCATGTCAGTCATTTATCGGCCTACACGGTTTCTGCTGTTCACCTGGGATCGAAATGACGGTACCGAAAATGGTTTTTTGACAGTCGGTACCGAAAATGGTTTTTTGAAGTTCGGTTGGAACGCAAACAAAATCATACGGTAAACGATCATCTCTTGGTTGTAAAGCGTTTAACCTAGTGCGCATGACCGTGACTACATTAAACGGTTTTCGTCGAAGTTAGAACGAAGCTAATATTATTACAATTTACAATGCGATCAAATGAACGATAACCGGGTCTGTGCGTGAAATACAGAGCCGGAAGGTTATGATTTCTGCCATATGCACTGCTGTCTGGATTTTAAAAATAGACTGAAATGCACCAAGCCTATACTAAATCTTATATGGTAATACAAGGCTGTTATTATCTCTATACTATATTACTAATAATGCATATAACAAAATGTGAAAGAAGCAATATAGTCAGTTAATATATACAAACCAAAGCAACCTTGCCGATCAGATGATTTTCGTATTTCGTTTCAAGCCGATAATTTTCTGCGCAGCATTATAACAAAATATTAAGTACAGTTATATTACAGAGTGAATAAGTTAAAAACACCTCAGGCGTTTGAAGTACCACATTTTACGTTTTAGATACTGATTTGGTAATCGAGACTGTGCGGTCTGGATTTTAACGTGTAAGACAGTGATGTAGACAGCTTAACGGAAAATCAAATGTATTAAAAAGAGATAAAATTTGGGTCGATACAATTCTTTTATGCGGTATTGCCGGATTTTGCATCAAAATTTCAAACTGCACAAGTAGGCGTTTACGAAAAATGTTGCATCTAGGGTTGGAACTTTATGTTTCACTATTAGGTTACTCATTTTATTACAGCTGTAATAGATTATATTTAGCTTAGATATATTATCTTCATTTCAGTAGCATACATGAAAGTTTTTAAAAAAGCTTATATTTTTCACCACACATTTTCCTCAAACGTAAAAAACCGCCAACACTGTATGACGCTTTCGATTTTGTCTCTCTGTCTGTCAAACAATCATTTTTATTATTCTCTTTCGCACGCATTAAAATCCAGACCACATAGTTTGGATGACTAGCAAGGTATGTGTTTAGAAGAGAGAGTAGTAAGACCAACTTTTTTTTTCTAGCCACAAAATATGCTAATGTCCATATTTTTATGGACCTTAGAATTATTTATTGATTATTATGAATCTTAGAAACAGGCTTCAAAAACACTTATGTAATAAGAGATCATTAGCCTGTAAACATGTACATTGTTGGAAGAAATCACTAGAAGCAATTATATATGTTACAAGTAGTAAACTAATCAATTATGAAAACTGTATAGAGTTAACTAATATGTTTTGTTTTTAACTTTTCGCATTTATTACCATTTGTAAAAAATAATTGAAGGGTCCAGGGGAAAAACTTGATAAGCGCCAATTTCATAATTTTAGGATTTTACATTATTATATAGTAGGTCTAAAGCTTGATTTTCATGCATCCGTTGTCCGACGATACGTTGATACGTTATTAATTTTATTGGTCGAATTTAAAGACTTTGATTGGTTAGAAAATAACGCAGTTTTTAAATTTATTGCATTTTCATGCCTCCGTTTATCGGATATACGTTGGTGTGATTTTATATTTGCGTTTCCATAACGATTTTGCTATTTTACTTATATTTTTATTAAGGTTAGATTAAATTTGTCAAAAAAGTGTCAAAACGTCCGTTATCGTATGAACGGATCCGTTGACGGGCTGAAGTAAAATATTTACAGATGAAAAGTGGCGCGAAAACGCTATGACCAATCAGAGCACCGTCGGACCATCGTATCAACGTATAACGGATGCATGAAAATCAAGCTTAACGGGTCTCTACCAAGTGTATAAATTTTTAAGAGCAATAAGTTATTAAATCCTATGATATATGCCTAGTAAAATTAGAGAATACACGGAAAGAACTTGATATCCACCAGTCGTCCAGTGCTCTCCTGTAAAATTAGTAAAATGGCGCTTATCATGTTTTCCTCTAGGGCGCTATTCTGTAAACGGCATCGATAATTGTCGGTATCGGTAAGTTACGACAGCTCTCGGTACGTACGACCAACGAACGTTGCGTTAAGGTAGTATTTTTACATAGTGTTAATTGTTGATGTCATAGTTATCGATCGGTCATAGGGCAGATATCGCAAATTTGTACCGCAAGGATCAATATCTCTACCGTACCCTTGGTAACCCCATGGTAGAAATACCAATATACTAAAAGATGTCGGTAAAAGTTTGTTATATGCCCTATTAATGACAGCTAAAACTATGACCAAACCAAACAAGTAACTCGACGCTCATTGGCCGTACGTACCGACGGCTGTCGGTAACCTACCGATACCGACGATTGTTGATGGCTTGTACAGAATAGCGCACCTGGACCCTTTAGGATACGTCAATTTTATGAATCTTACATAGTTTCAGAACTGTATCCATATTTTGTTCTTAAATAATTATATTAGCTCAATAAATTTAATAAGAAATATAACTTTAGACTCAATTTAATTATGTTTAATATTTATCGACGAAACGTAAATAAAATTAGCAAAATTATTGAACGTATCCTACTTTATATTCTAATAAGTTAAAAAACGAACGACACTATGTTAAACCGAAATTAGTCAGGCATATTAAAACCCCTTTGAGGTCTCACCATTTTTTTACATATTGTTGCGGACCCGTGTGGACTCGACCTAACCTAATTATATGTCCCGCCCTCAGATGACCTTAACATCGCATTAAAGAATAGGGGTCAACCAGGGGCCAGCTTTGCAAATACCTTCATTCACCGTGTACATCTCGGGACGAGCATGTACCTAAGAAGGGGGCAGTGTTGCGGACCGGTGTGGACTCGACCTAACCTAACAATATGGCCCGCCCTCGGATGACCTTAACATCGCATAGACACCGTAATGATTCATTCGAAAGTTCGAGAAAAAACGAGTTCCACTGGAATGGACTAGTACATACGCGAACATTCGAAACCTTCTCTAAGCACCTAATGATTTATGGATTATTCGAGAAACTCTTTAGCTGTGGGTATAAAATCCGACGGCTGGGGCCTGAGGAGGACAGAAATAAATAGACGAGTACAGTTGACGCGCTAAATTTAAAATAAATTCTCTCTAGATAAATAGTTATAAATCGTTTGTAAATAGTTCTTTAAGTCTTTTATCGTTATTTTTGTTAATTGGTGTTAAATAAATTGTGTTTAAATAAATTGTGACTTTCTATCCACACGGAACCGACGAAAAACGTAACAATATGTTCCTTAGTCCTTTTATTCTACACTACTCAAAACAATTTTCGCATATTTGAATAAAAGTAATTATTACATAGTTCTAAATAAAGTATGCATTTTTCTGCCTTTCTCTTGTGAGTTTTTTTAGGATAATTAGGGTAAGCACTGATATGTAATTTTTAGTCGCCGACAATTTAGTTGCAAAAGTGAAAACGATACATTCTTATGGAGCCGATCGGCCCAATATTTGATTACATTGCGTAGCCTTAGGCTATGCGCTGACAGGCAATTTATAATCGGCTGACTATTTAGTTGCATATTTGTAACCAATATATCCTTATAGAGCCGCGCTCACATGCAACCAAATAGTCGGCCGATTGACTTCATAAGTATGTATTGTTCTTATTTTTGCAACTAAATAGCCGGAGACTAAGAATTACAGGTTAGCGCGTAGGCTTATTGTATCGAATTTCCCTTCACCGTATCCATACTATTTAACATTTAAAATCGTAAGTAAAGGAATTCAAAGTGTCTTGTTTTTTAAATTAGTATTTTTTAGAAAATATGCGATAATTGAGTAGCTTACTTCGAATACATTTTTTCGGTACTTCTGACAGCCCTGAAAAAAATAAACATCAAATCAAAATACCTTTATCGTTCAGCCAGACAGCAATCTTGAAATACGCCTCGTCCATGAGAGATATAACAACGGCCAACATAATTTTCGGAAAATATCCTAGCCAAAGTGGAAATCCACGGTTGGTTAAAAACTCATCCCACCAGTCCTAGAATATTATTTAATATCAATTATAATGGTGTTCATTTTTTAGTTAAAAAGTAACGCTACAATGTCTATAATGCTCTATTTTTTATCTTTATTTGTATGTTACAGTACCAACGTGTTACTTAAAAAGCAAGCTTTTTTCAGGTTTTGCATTTTCGTATAATTCTAGAATTAATTTATTTAAATGAGAGGTGGAAATAATTTCCCCATTATCATTGTCAAGTTTTCTCTTATACCACTAATCTTTGCCACTACAGAACGTTGCAAGGTTAATTTTGTAATCCGACGTTTCGGACTCATATCAACTCTCTTATTATAACACTGACATGTTTTTTTTCATTATTCAGTATTATAATATATTATTAATTATGAACAACATTTTCATTAAATGTTGTTCATAATTATAAAATAATTCGCAATATAAAAGTCACAGCACAACATTTGATTTTTTGAGAATATGAGTATTATTTAGAGAATTTTGAGATCGCCATCTAGAGACCACTAACAAAATCATTACGGTAGAATTTAGGCATCTATGGGCACAGAGCAAAAAAAGCACTTTTTCGACACTAAGGTAAAAGCGGCTTATCCATAACAGATATATCAATATTTTGAATGTAAAAATATTTAACGTTTATACTGTTACCCGCCAAACCCTGAATCTGCCCTTACCACTTCCAAACCTTACTCTAATCCACCGATAATATTAATCCACTAAATGTATGTCCGTTATGTTGTAGTAAACTTATGCCTCATAATTCTATAACCTAATTTTTATTTTTATGGATAATTTTGTAGTAGATGCGTTTGGCTGCGTTACAGGCCTGTACATGTTTCTTCCAGTCGATACCTTTCCTTACAACTGCGTACAGCACATGACACCATCGTTTCTTAATAGAAAACACTCAAATTGTCATTAAAAACATTAAATATTGGAAAAAATGCAGAAATGACACAAAGGTACTTCCAAAATGGCTGGCTGGTCCCGTTTTCGCCACAGCTGTAGCGCCTCCGCTATCTTATTCCTCCATGGTTTGAAATGAAATTATATGGGAAGTGTCGTTGATCGTCATAACACTTATCTATGATCGTCATTTCCAAGTTAATTGGCCACCATGGTTTGTTTTCGGTCATACGGTATTTTCAACATATACTTTAATTAGTAAATTATAGCGGCTTAATAGCGGTCAACAAAGGTAAAATGCTGAAAATTATTTTCAAGCTGTGGAAAAATAATTTTTTGAATTTTCCCTTAGCCAATATACTTTTCGAGATAAGGCCGAGTAATTATTCTTAATATTTAAAAATTAATATTTAAAATTTTATAGGCTTGGTGCATTCTCCACCGGTGCGGCCACCGCTCGGGAATATCGCAAATAACGAACACATACAAATACACGGGTTTAAATGGCGAGTAAACGAAAAAATTAGTATATAATTTTGTGGAAATTCTAAACAAAAAAATAAAAAGGTAAATATTTTGATATATTCAGAAGGTCTAACTTGCATTATAATTTATTATTCCAGTTAAAACATTTCTTTAGATGAGTTCAATTACGGTAGCGAGCATAGTTTTATCACCGGTTTTGCTACTGGGGAGTAATTGAAGCTATTTCGGCTATAACGACATTTTTTAAAGGTAGTACATAATTATAATTTTAGAAAATGTTCATAAAACATTTAATCACTAGTTGATTTAAAAAGTATACCATTAATATTGCAAATTATATTTCATCCTGTCATAGTATATGTCTATTTAATTTTTTGATTATCTAACGAGCACTTTGCTTACTCATTTGTTTTGTCGAAGTGTTTGAATCCGTTTTTGCTATTGACTATTGATCAAATCGGTGTAAGAAATTATGAAGCTATAAAATGTTGTTTCGGGAGAGCTGAATATCCGGGAAAGTTGAGTTATTGAATGTTATTGCACCCAACAACGCCCTAATTACGCTCTCCTTTACGCGTTAACATTTTTTTGGTCAATTTTATTAACATTTGAAATTGTCACAACACAACAAGACGCCTAGTTAGAATTCTTTTTCACTTATTTTTTACTACCCGAAACAGCGTTACATCACACACACATCACTACCTGAGTGTTTTATAGTCTCAATAACTGCACTAGCAAAAAACTAAAATACTTAATAATTACGACAAAACCCCGATTTCAATATTATTTTAATGCGATCGACATGACGGAGGCGTGAACTATTAATTGATAATTTCTGATTTCAGCCGTAGAGTGCGCTGCGGTCGGAATTTGTTGAAATCAACTGAAATGCACCAAGTCTATATTTAAATTAAAAGAAGAGTATACACAACGCACATTACCATATTCTATCCCCTTTATATTGCAATTTTGTTAAATATGCACCTAGATATTAAATGTAAATGTAATTACAAAATGTATAACTTAGCTTACCTGCACTTGCAAAGAAATAATCATAACAACAAATACTGTAAGTAAGGAGACAGCAATCACAGGCACAGAGACACAGTATCGAAATAGATGCCTTTTCCACACAGGATGGTGGGGCTCAAGTCTTCCAGTGACTGGGCTGAGCTTCAAAGGGCCCTGATAACAAATAAGAACATGTCGCGGTAGCTGTACAACGACATGTTACAAAGCTGTATGAAAAATCTACTAGAAAAAAGCCAAATTAAAGTAATTGTGCAACAAGTCAAATATGAAATTTTTAGATCTTACATGTATGAAATATATTTTCTAAAACAATTTTGTTTCAATTATTCTACTTAATTGAATTAATTAAAAAAATATTTTAATAAAGTTTCATATGATAGTCGTTTTAAAAGTTTATCTAAAACCATTTACCCTTGTAAAACTAACATTACCACCTTCTGAAAATAATATTAAAATGCTCCTCTCTATGATATTAAAATAAAAGGGAATAATGCATAATTGCATAATATTTCTACATAAAAACACAAATATTCCTGATTTATTTTAATTTAATAATTATATTTTTTATTATTATAAAATCATTGTATGTATGTCTGTGTACTTAAAATCGATATTAATATACTGTTGCGGACCCGTGTGGACTCGACCTAACCTAACTATATGTCCCGCCCTCAGTTGACCTTAACATCGCATTAAAGAATAGACACCGTAATGATTCATTCGTTCGAGAAGAATCGAGTCCCACTGTAATGGACTAGTACATACGAGAACATTCGAAAACCTTCTCTACGCACCTAACGATCTATGGACTATTCTAGAGTTCTTTACCTGTCGGTATAAAAGACGGCGGCTGTGGCCTACAGAGGGCAGTTATAAATATACAGTTGACGCGCTAAAATTCAAAATAAATTCTTAGTTATAAATCGTTTGTAAATAGTTCTATAAGTCTTTTATCGTTATTGTTTTTGTTAATTAGTGTTAAATAAATAGTGTTTAAATAAATTGTGACTTTCTATCCACACGGAACCGACGAAAAACGTAACAATACAAACATATTTAATTATTTTCCTGATTATATGTTATCAAATAAAATAAACTAAATAGTTTAATGAAACTACGTATTTTTTCTAGATTGATTTTTTTATTTAAATACAAGTATATTAATTATACAGGGTGTTTCAAAAAACATGGAACATCTCTCGTGGGGAGATCCTCACATAAAATAAGATTTATTTTTTATATAAACATATGTAGGTCCGATTCTGCTTTGTTTCGTAGCTACAGGGGGCTAAAATCTTCATTTTGTTTTTCGGTTTATTACAATTTTCTTCCAAGTGCTTTTAGCGATTCGAATGAAATTTTGAGGGTAAAAGTTATGAGGATATAAGTGCGACACATTTTAATGCTAAAAACGAGTCGACAGATTCACCAGGGGCGATGAGTTCTTCTTCTTAAAGTGCCGTGCAGATTCCTACGTAGGTGTTCATCTTTTTCTTCCTCATCAGATGGTTCTATTAACTGCAGCGACTTGGAGTGCTTGAAAGTCCTGTATGCCTGTCCAATGACGAATATTTCTGAGCCAGGATAGCTTCTTTCGGCCTGTTCCCCTTTTGCCCCCTCTATTTTACCCTGGAGAATCAGGTGTCCCAAATAGGCTATTTTCCTCTTCTTGATGATTTCGAAGAGTTCACGTTCTTCAGATCAGCTCTTCTGAGAATGTCTTCATTCCTCACACGGTCGACCCAGGGCACTCTTAGCATTCGTCGTAGGGTCCACATTTCAAAGGCTTCAATTCGGTTTATTGTTGCTACCTTCAGTCTCCATGCTTCCACACCATATAACAAAACGGACCAGACATAGCACTTCACCATTCTGTATCCAAGGCCGAAGTCCAAGTTCCTATCTGTGAGAAATCTTGGCAGTCTCAGAAAAGTAGATCTTGCTTGTTCGATCCTGAATTTTTTTGCACGTTTCGTTAACCATGCATCCCAAATATTTATAATGTGTGACCTGCTTGATGACCTCTCCATTTAAGTAATTTCTGGTGTTCGGAATATTGTTTCTGCTAACAGCCATAAATTTAGTTTTTGTAGTATTTATGTTTAAACCCAGTCTTTGGCTTTCATTGTTGACCTTATTTAGAAGCATTTGGAGATCATTTGCATTGTCTGCCAATACACTGTGTCATCCGCATATCGGATATTATTAATTGGAATGCCATTTACTTTTAAACCAATCGGACTATCGGAGATTGACTCAGTGAATGCTCTTTCCACATATAAATTGAACAACATTGGAGACAGAATACACCCTTGCCTTACCCCCTTTTTTATTTCAAAATCTTCAGTTACTCCCACGCTATGTATACGAATTTCAGCTTTTTGGTTCCAATACAAATTACTGATGAGCCTTATATCTTTTCCATCAAGTCCCAAGTCTCTGAGGTATGATATAAGGAGGTTATGTTTAACGTTATCGAACGCCTTTTCATAGTCTATAAAGCACATGAAGACATCTTTTCTCTGATCTTGGCAATTCTGTACTAAAGTTTGAAGACTGAATATGGCTTCTCTAGTACCAAAGCCGTTCTTAAATCTGAAAATCCTGCCTTCTCAAAAATGGTCGATTGTATATCTTTTATGATAATTTAGACCTGTTGCGCCTATTATTTGGAGTCAAACCCTAACTGTACCCTATTATTTGCCTTAAATTATCTGAATTTTCAACCAATCCAATTGCTGAGACAAAAAATTATTGGCCATATGAGATCTTGTGCTTGAAGGTAAAGGTGTTTAATTTATACATAATTTTCATATTTATTTTTTATTTAGATAGGTGTAATTAAGATTGATTTATCAGCAATTTACATTTAACTCTACATTTTTTATTCATATTGGGTTTCAATGAACTACCTAGACACAAATTTATTTTAGAAAATGAAGATTATTTTACGTCAAAACGAATTTGTTAGTTCATTTGAATAAAATCTGGCGCGGAAAAACAATATGTGTCATTCTATGTCTGTCTGTGTTATTCTATAATTCTATTACCGAAAATGATTGTTTACTCACTTACCCGATAAGTACGTGGCCCCATATAAGGCGTACAACGGAGCGGAGAGTAGAGCGTAGGGGACCACTAAGCGTAAATGCATTAAAGTAAACCGATGCGGCCCCACATACAGCGTATCGTATTGCGTACTTGCTCGCTGGTAGCGTATTTTTGTTAAAGGGGTCACTCTACACACGCCTCTCCGCTTACGCTACTCTACAGCTGGGTTGTCACTGCGCGAAACTGTTTCGCGAAAAAATGTTTCGCGAGTGTGCTTCGGATAACGAACACACGTTTCGTGCTTCAAGCGGAAACAAGTGGTGAGCCGCCAGTTTGCGCGAGGCAATGATTCTTGGTCCATTTCTGGCGCGAAACACACGATGCACGATCACACTCTGAGCAACACGGAAGACGAAGCTCTTTTAATGCGCGAACGAAAACCGACTGACGCTGGCTCACTTCGAAACATATTCGCGAGTTTCGGGGTGAGTACGAAGTATACACGAAGCGAGGCTAGTTTCGCGAAACAGTTTCGCGCAGTGACAACCCGGCTTACCAGCTTTATGTTGGGCCACGCACTAATTATCTCCCGATACGAAGTTCGGGAGATAATTTGCGAATGAGTTTTGATTGCTTTAGTTTCAACATTTCTTTCGCAATTCGCTGTTGTTTCTTAATTTTAATTTTAAAACGAATTTGATTGTACTGAGTGATTGTTATACTGAGTAACAGAAAAAAAGAACGCCTATATATTTATCCGAATTCGATAATTTTTTGCTGGTTGCTAATCTTGCCTTAAATAAAAAATAATTAAGTGCTGTTTCGCATGGAGCGGACCGTCCGCGCGGACCCTCGTGTGTATTTTCCGACGGAGTACTCTCACCTGTGCTGCCAATCTGCGCATGTGAAACAAAGTTTTTAATCATATAGCACGTTCGCAAGCGGATGGTTCGTAGAAGCAATGGCTCGACGGATGGTCGTCGGACGAAATCATCCGGACGGATCATCCGCGCCCATTCGAAAATGTTCATGTCTAAACTCATGGTACTTGTTCAACCAACGGGCGGACGGTCTGCTCCATGCGAAACGGCACAACAAAGACGATCAGCGCGGACGGTCCGCTCCGTGTAAACCCAGTACTAGATTTTCAGGCTTATCTCTTAAATATTTCAGTACCTGCATTGGCCGTTACCTAACATTTGGCACAGTTTTCGACAATATTATACAATACACATAATTGGCAAGTGTGTCTCCCACACGATGTAGCAAATGTCCGTGTGTCCAACATTGGAAGGTGTTTGGTGCATCGAGTGGGGCCAGCTTTAGCAAGTTTTGTTGCATTTTTTTTAAATAGCTGTTATGCCGAGAGTGCTTAGAATTGCTCGGACACCCCAGCTTAATAATTTTGAAAGTTGTCGAATTTTTGGGTTGCGGTAACAAAACAACTCAGTACAAGAATAGTTTGTCGGTTTCCAGAAGAACCAGCAGATTTTTAAGAGCGATAATACGGTGTTCGGTCGTAGACTCAAAAAGGGCCAGGGTATAGAGCAAAACCAGAGAGCAAAACGTCGCAAAGGAACTACAGCGCTTCAAAATCGTCGATTAAAAATTTTGGCTCTCAAAGATCAAATTACCAGCACCCGCGCCATTGCAGATCAATGGTTTGAACAACACGGAAGGTAATTGGTATGCCTTCAAAATCTTATGTACATATATACAAGGTGTCTCAATATTCCATGGACCATGGACACAGAACTACTACACATTCTTGGCATCAAAATAAGTTCATTGGACCTTAATTACCTCTCTTAACCTACAAAACCTCTATTAACCTACAAAACTTTAAAAAAATAAAAACATTTTTTCAGATATTTTAAGAACCGTTATTCCGATTTGAATGAGATTTTGGGTATCTATGCTTTGCTAAGTAACATTTGAGCTTTACAAAAACCAAGAAAAAGTACGGGAAGAGTAAAAATAAAAACTACCCCCACACCTACATAAATTATAGTACAAATATTTTCCAACTCCATCGACGACAGATTTTCTTTTCGCAAAATCAAAGTCGAGTTTTTGTAAAAGTCAGATGTTAAAGCACTTAGCAAAATATAGACACCCAAAATCTCAGTCAAATCGGAATATCGGTTCATAAAATATATGAGAAAAAAACGTGATTATTTTTTTAAAGTTTCATGCCCTCTAAGGGACAAACGAAGCACTTTTGTATAGAAGTAAATTGTGTCCAATGAACTTATTTTGATTCCAAAAGTATGTAGTAGATAGGTGTTCTCCTTTTTTGTCATGTCAGTATATAATCCTCTGTAACTTCAAATAGTAGCAAAAATACAATAAAATATGTTGAAATTTAGTGTATAATCCTTATTTTTCCTTATTTAAAATTACTATTAAAATGGCTACTTTTTGAAAAAAAAACCAAAAGCGAAAATCATGTGTCTGAATACTTCTCTAGACCCAAAAAATATATTAAAAAATATCGCAAATGAGTACGACAATTATTAATCAAACACCTTGATTGATGAATAATTACAAATAATCCGTTAAACAATTTTCTATAATAATTTTTTGCTTTCCAAATTAGCCTAAGAAGTTTAAAAATAGATACGTCAGTTATAAAATTTACAATGCTTAGGCCATGCATCTAATTAATATAAATAAGTAAACATTTTAAGCTTAAAGCTAAATAAGAAAATAAGCAAAATAAATATAAAATTCATCATCACAACATACCCTAAAAAGTGGTCTTGGCTCAGCTAACAAGTCATCTCTTTGATCTAGTGTCCCCCATCGAAAAGCCAATTCTGCAGAATATCTTTTCCAAGCTTGAAGATAAGTTGTTACCCACACAACATTGAAGATTGAAAACAACACATAACCAACATCCTGCGTAGTTTGGTGTTTGCCATTACAAAATAACTAAAATATATGAGTGACATAAATATCACAACTGTCAATAGATTCAGAGCATAAAGTAAAATTTTGAAATCTGTTGTAATATATTATTTATTTATTATTTCACATACACCAGAAGCACTCAACAATTATATTGATATTAATATTGTTTTTACCCAAAAAATAAATCCAACTACTGCAGGTATGCTCAGTGCAGTAGTATAATGACCAAGCCAAGCAAAATACATTCCAATTTTCACACCAAAATAATCAGTTATCTCATCTGAAAATAAGTATATACAATGTTAAAATTTAAAATATAGACATATACATAAAATAAAATGTATTGTAATGAGTAGGTATATTATACCTAAAGGCTGCTTAGCAAATATATCTCTAATCCATATTTGTTGTAATCTCTCCAAATATGTAGGTTCATGAAGAGGAAATACTTGTGAAATTAATCCTGCTGTTAAACATTTTGGAACTGAAAATATGAAATTAAACATAAAATTCTTAATAATTTTTTTATATTCATTTATCTTACCAATAGGTTGTCCTTCTAACAGCGTAATGTTATTTACTGTATTTAATTCTTCTTTTTTAGCCCTGATACCCTCTAACAAACGAAGAACCAGCCATTGTCTTTCTTCAGTAGTAAAAAACTGTTCCTCATTGTCAGATCCTTCATATGATTGAAATTCTTGGACAAAAAATTCTTTTAAACCGCCTCCCTTGCATTGTTTTAATCTTTTTGGTAAGTGATATTCTTCTGCAGCTTTGAGTAACCTTTAATACAATTCAATTTATAATCTTATAGTTTTTACAAAAAAACATACATTATATGATAGCGAATGCATATAGACTATACATAAAATTAGAATATATAGTATACTGTAAAAAACTGTGTTATTTACATATATTGTAATGTTGTAAAATAAGATTGTTCTGCCTATTTATAGGTATAAATGTATACTTACACAGAAAGAGGTGCAGAAAGATAAAAAGCACTACTTTGTGTTGAAGCATGATGTCTCACATGTACAGTCAATCCATGAAACTGTCTTAATTTTGCTAAAAGCCACAGCAAAAATTGATCTTCAGCATTGGGAGGAAATGTTACGACAACATCACAATTTGGAGTTGATACTCTTTTTAACCATAATCTTTTTGGTGCCAAAAAATATCCAGCACAAGGAATTTTCTTTTTAAGTAATTCCGACGCTAAAAAATGTGTTACCTTAATATTTTGTCATCTAGTAAATAGAATCATCTTCTGCTAATGCAACTTTACCGTGATCTATAGTTTGTTGGGCACATTTTATAAATCTTTTTCGACGAATTATGCTAGTATTACTCGAATTTTCACATTCCTTTCCTGGAACATCGTCTGTATTAGACATGGTATAATAACACGGGGATCGTTAAGCTATTTAAAATGATGTTTATATTTGAAAGCTGTTAATAAATGACCCCTATATCCACTATTCTCCAATATATAAAAACACCATTTTTTTTAAATCACAATTATTGAACAGAATTGCAAAATGTCAATAATAACTCAAGTCAACTCCGTCAACATCAGCTGACTGTCAATTCAATTTAAAAAAGGTTGTTTTGGCCGAATAGCCCTGGCAGCTCAGGCCGTAAAACTAAATTCCTACTAGTTTCAACTAGTTTGTTTGGTTTCGTTTTAAAAGCCACAGCTGTTAGAGCTATCCGACCGCTTGATATGCGCTTGATAGCAAATCTATCCGAACCAGAGAAATAGAAGGGATAGAGAATGAGCGTCAACATGCGCAGAAGGTCTAATCAAGTTGGGCGCCATATTCCAGGTCTTCCTGTCATTTTGTATATAGGTGGTAATCTATAAGTAATCAAATATCAATTTGCTGTTTTCAACCATACGGGGGGCAATTTAAATTTAGTGAAATTCTATCATTTATTATGGTTAGTTAACATGGTTAACATTAATATGATTTATTTAATTATCAGTTTCAAAACTGCGTACAATATTGGTATATAATACACTAAATATACGAATATTCTGACAAAAGACGCTACGGACAGATGACCTTTTCGTCGTAAAACACTCGAAATGATATTAAATAAGTATTTACAATATTTCATGTTTACTTGTACTGAATTACGCGTTTCAATTTAAAATTTTTGCAAATTTGGTAAAAATTGTTCTAAACAACTTTTTGTTCAAGTTGTATATTCATAAAAAACATTTGGTTCATAATTATTTTTGATGATTATCTACCTTGTATTTTTAATATAAACCTAGAAAAAATATGTTTTTGTTTTATTTTTTTTATTCGTCCCTTCAAATTATGTTTCAAAAACTGTTACATAACATGTCCTCTAACAAATATTTTCATAATACATAAACATCATTGATTTTATTAAGGGTATTATTATTAGTATTTATCCTGGTTTTTGTCGACAATAAAAACTCAATCTTGTAATAGAACATCAATTTTATATTTCGTAAAATTATTTTGATACAAATTCGATTTGTCAAAATTCAAGTCATTAATATATTGATAAACAACCCAAATTATTCCTAAATATTTTATTATAAACAAAAACTGTTACCGGTAAGTTTGTAAAACACATTATGGTTTGTCGTAATACTAGAAAAAATCATTTATTTTTTGCACAAAAGAAGCTTGTCGATCCTTATTTGTCCATAACAAAATTCTGTATGTACATATACCTAATTTATTATTAAGAAAATTAGATTATATGATCTCAGAATTTTAAGAAATTTTTTTTTAAGATAAAATAGTTTCTTCTCAACTGTAATATTGTCAACTTTGGCCTGTATTTTATCTATTTAAAAACATGGGATTGACAATCTCCTTACTAAAATACATACTGGAAGGTACCGATTAAGTTTCATTGCATCAAATACCTTTGCTATAAATCCTGGCTCACAATTTAAGGCCATTGCAAAATGCTTTTGAACTTCATCATAGATTTTACCAGAATAAAAGTGTAATATTGAAACAAAGTAACATTGTAAGCTTCATGACTAATAGTCTCATTTTTAACACTCTTTAACTATCTCGTTAACAATTATGAATATTATATGATTTTTCTCAGTGATTTGTGGTACAGATACAAATTAATATATGCCCCATAACAGTTTTTAAATAAGAAACTTCTGCCTACAGATTTAATTTTCTTATTGGCATAATACCCTTTCTTCCTATATAAATCTTGCTATTTTTTCAGTCCAATTTTCTTTGTTTTTACAGTTGTAGGAATACTAAAAATGTTGACTATAGAACTTGATACTATGTTTGAAAAAGCCTCCATACCTGTAACTGTGCATAAATCTAATTAACTAAATTCTCCTCCTCTTGACACTCTGAACACTGCTGCTGCTAATGTTAGAAATATTTAGCACAAAACTACAACTACCTACAACAAACTTTACAATAAAAATGTTAAATTTTCGCTGTTCGATTAAAATACCCTATCTTATGTTTTCTTTTCCTCCAAATAATCTTGTCAAGTAAGGACCAATCTTATTTGACATATTTCTGGTACACTTGAACTTGTGCTTTCATGGACACTATAAGAGTGCACTGTTTTACAGAAGCATGAATATTGATTCCAAGTATCTTCTTCCTCCACACGTAATAAAAACATCCTCTTTAAATGGCCACATCATACACTTATTTTTGACCATTCCCAATTACAATCACGATTTTTACAAATCGCCTTAAGGAAAACTAAAAATAAACAGTTTTGGATCATCTGTAAACACGATTATGTTGTATAAACTTACACATGAAAACTAATCATTTTTCCCGGCGTATTAGCTTTCTTAGAATGACTATGACAATATACAATAAGACTTTTTGAATTAGTGTTTAGAATAATTGAGACTCTGATTGAGATAATAATAAATTTTAACTAGATAACAACACGAACGAAAAAAAAACAAAACAGATGTCAATTAAAGAGGGGAAGTGACAGCGAGACCTGGAAGATGTCTGCCATCTTGCCGTCGACAAAAATTTGGATGCGCACTCGTCGAAGCTCATTCTCCCACTTCCATATCTCTGATCCGAACGCACAGAAACGACCAGAACAGAACAAATAATCCGAACCCATCCGAACCAGGGATCCGGACTATTGAGGGTAGACTTTGAGTAGAGGATAGAGGGCATGGGGTAGAGCAGGTAGAGGAGGTCCGAACAAAAAATCATTGCGTTCGCGCCAAAGACTCGCGCGAATATAAATATGTATCTCTGTAAATATTAATTATGGAGGACTTTTCTTTTAGCCTCTTTAATAGCTTTGTTCGGGTTCTTGTTATTACCGATTCTGAACCGTCCTAGAACTGTGATGCGTATGCGCAGAAGGAAATATGAAGACATTATTTTATTTGCGCATGCGCTGCAGAGCTCTAGGACGGTTCAGAATCGGTAACTGCTGTCCTCCTTTCACGCAGTTCAGCAGCTCTGAACTGTTCAAGAACGCGATACTCTCACTCCATTCAATTGAGTCATAAAGTTCCAGAACTGTTCCGCGCCATATGGCGGCACGAGGCTATCGCGCACAGCTCCTTTCAGAACCGTTCTCAAATAGCCCCAGGGCGTAAAGCCCGGAACTCGAAGTTCGCGAATGGAGGACAGCAAATAACAGCTTTCGTCCTAAGTTTGTCCTAGAACTGTGATGCGTATGCGCAGAAGGAAATAAGAAGACATTATTTCATTTGCGCATGCGCTGCAGAGTTCAGGGACGGTTCAGAATCGGTAATAACAAGAACCCAAAGAAAGGTACAAGAACCCGAAAAAAGCTAATATTAATAAATGTTCCATATACTCGAACTATTTGTGAGTATACCGCAGTGCAGTAGTAAAGTTTTAATCCACATCAAATTTCAATATAAAAAGTAACATGAAACTGATTTAGCAGTAGCTTATTTTTATTGCTTTTTTCATAATTTAAGGAGATAAAAAATAAGAAAAAACTGCGAAGCCAATGGTTACGAAGATTGGAAAGGATTGTATCCACATCGAGCCGCTAACTTGTTATTACGAGGAATAGACCGAATAGAATACAGATATTTATTTACATAATTTCACTAGAATGTCTTCTGAAGATTTTGAGGAATAAAAAAATAATTGGCACCTGTAATAGGTATATACACAAAACACATACACAAGAGATATATAGGTAATTAAAAAGAACACAAAGTTTCGGCAAGCAATATTAAAAAATTTTCCTTATCCTACTCCACTTTCAAGTGGAAATTATGCTAGTGACAGAGCGCGAACGACATATCTAAAATCACGGCATATAAATCACAGGGCAGGCCAACTCGCTTTGGCGGGAACGCTACGCGCATACCCTTGCGCACGCCGCCATTATGGGTGCCAGCGACAGAAATTAACCAGTGTCGTAGTCTTTGTCATCGACAACCTTTGAATAAGAAGACTAAGGAAGGAGCATAATGCTATCCATGTATTCATGCATGGTGGACGGAAAAGCCACCATAAAAGCTCTCTAGGATGGGGATCCTTGACAGTTCTGTTTGACGATTCATTTGACACATTTGAATTTGATTTGAAATTTTGATTTGTCAGTCTTACGGAGCTTATTTTATGTTATTTATTATTTATTCTACTACTGATAGTTGTATAAAGGTAGTAAATCTAGATGGAAATTGTGGCAGAAACTTAAATTAACAGTGACAATTATCGCGATTTATCGAAAAGACTCTAAAATAGTATGGTTGTGTAGCGTGCGGATATCTCGGCAAAATTGAGTGAAATAAATCAAACAACTTTTCGCTAGTAAGTGACTAAGTATAATATACATATGTAGTAAACCGATCATTTATGAAATTCACTTAAATTTAACTAAATTATATATTTTTCTTGCATTTTAGCTTTTATTTATTACTTGTCAAAGATTAGATGTCAAAGAATTTAGATACGTTAATTTGACTTACCTGCTTCAGTAGCGTATCGGATGTTTGTGTTAATAACGGGGCTTTAAGCCTAATGTCCTAAGAACGGGGCTTTAAGCACCGTTCTCAGAACTGCGACTGTCGCGGGCGACACGTCAAAAGGACCAATCAGATTTGTACAAAATTCAAACAGCTGTCAATTTTAAATTTAGTACAGCTCCCATTGGTCGTTTGAAATGTCAATCAGTGTCGCTGTCGACACGACGCAGTTCTGAGAACGGGGCTTGAGAACGGGGCTTAAAGCCCGGTTCTCAGAACAGCGACACGTTAAGAGGACCAATGAGATTTGTACAAAACAAAATTCAAACAGCTGTCAATTTTTAAATTTAGTACAGCTCCCATTGGTCGTTTGAAATGTCAATCAGTGTCGCTGTCGACACGACGCAGTTCTGAGAACGGGGCTTTAGTCTTCTTATTATTCAAAGTCGATTAACGTATTAGTTACGGTAGTTTTGAGTCAGTAGCGTGCGGTTTAATTTATTTTATTCTTTCTTTGAGTGATATATTTTGGTTTTTTTTAGTTTTATTTTTGTTTATTGTGTGATATATTTGGTTTTTGTAGTTTAGTAGTACAATGGAAGTCCTAAATTCTGCTTTAA